CCACTTGCATGGGTGAAGCAATACGACTTTATCTTCCCCTAGGAAAAAAGACTAACGAAACGATTTAGAGCTAAATTCGTCTGCTCTCGTTTGCGCATCAATTGTTGGAAGCGCAACCACCGTAAGCTAAAAATGGAATAAATGAGATGGACGTCAGGCATGAGGCAGCAAGGGCTAGCCGCCTTTGCTTCTGGAAGTGCCTGGGGAGCTGCAGACATCCTCGCGCCTATAATCACTCTTCGCACCTTTGATTACTTTACAAGCAAGAGGATCAAACGAAAATCTTCGTGAAAAGTATTTTACTCTGGATGAATTTGGAACTCTTGCAATTTTATCCAGTCTCAGCCATAATAAGTTTCAGCTTAGAGAAATATCGGGTTTAGGGCGATTTTCTTTGAAATCCGTGCAGCAGAAAGGAGTAAGTCTGCCATAAAAAAGACATATGCTAACAGTCTTCGAACTCCTTGCTTTCAATTGGAATGACTAAAATGAGAAAGAATTACAAGAATTACTTCAAGAATCTGACTTGAAGATTTGATAGATCAAGTTATGCGTTCAAACCAAATCAAAATCTGATATTTTTATAGCGCCTTTGAAGTTGAATTAGGCTAATCTCTACATTTGCTATGAATTTTCAACATAAAACCTATACTGGTATTTGCCATGCTTGAAAATTTACGAACAGTCGGACTAGGTGGGGGTGGTGCAGGAGGAACCAAAGGCCTGCCGCCTGTAGCCGCAGGAGATAATTAAGAGCGCGAGCGCTATGGAGACGACTTTGGCAAGGATCCAAGAAAACTTCGCAAAGATATCCCTTCGGAACAAGTCTTCATAACTTTGCCTGGGGATGGCCTTGAAAATTTTGAAAAACAGATTTATAATGCAAATTGGCAGGCGCATTCACTAGGCCTAGAAGTAAGTGAAAATTTGGTATTATAATGGTAAGAAAAGTTAACTTTTCTTATACAAACTTTTTGTTTTATGAATTTTGAAATTAAAGGTTGTTGAAAAGACCGGGATTTTCATTCAAATTCATTTTTTTCTTCGAAATAAAGGATTATTTTGCCTTTTGATTCATAGAACCAAAGCAATCAAAATGTCATGAGGACACATCTGGAGGCTTATATCAAGATGCAATTAAAGTTTTCATAACTTCAAACCTATTCTAATTTCAAATTTTGACACTAGAGATTTCAAAGCTTTGCCGTTGAAACTATGTCGGTAATCCTTTTGAGGTTATACACACTATCAAAAGTTCATCAATTTACACATGCAACAGCTTAGTTAACATTATTTCCTGATTATCACTCCCTACTTTCAACTTCCCATCCAGAAATTTCCCCTAAAATATTCACTTAGAATCTTACACACAGCACTGAACCTGAAATTCTTCAAGAATTTTGAAGGCTCACACTTTGGTAAAAATAGGACTCGTGAGACAGAGTAGTTTCTCTATCAGGTAGGCGTTTTACTAAAAAAATATTTCAATACTGATTTCAGATGTGTCCTTCGTATACATGAATGTTAATTCTAAGAAGAGTTATAAGAGTTTGTTTCTAATGGATGTCCCCTCCTCATTTTCCTGGATCCTTGCCAAAATCTTCTCCTCAGCGCTCGCGCTCCTAATTATCTCCTACGGCTACAGGCGGCAGGCCTTTGGTTCCTCCTGCACCGCATCCGACTTAGGTCATGTCACATGATTAAAGGTGCGAAGATGTAATTAGAGGCGCGAGGAAGTCTGAAGGTCCTCAGGTACTTCCATAAGCGAAGCGGCAAGCCTTTGCTGCCTCCTGCCCGACCGCCAAATGAGATTCTGGCTGCCTCCTAATTCCATTTCGATCGTTAATGAAACAAGATTCATGATATGGGCAAATAGGAAGTAGTGCTTTGTACTGAGTACAAAAAGAGATAGCTATTTTTTCTTGAGATATAGTTAACCATGTTTGAAAATAACTGCCCCAAAATCCAGCATATAAGTCCTCCCATCAGATAAGTCCATCCATTAGATAAGTTCGCTTTTTGACAAGGAAAGTCGATGAAAATTACCCTCCTCGCCAAGAGTCCTGCAGATAAGTCCGGACTTATATGCCGATTTTAGGGTACTTGACTTGGATGGTCCAATGTTGGGAACCCTCAGGATTCGCTAAAAAGCTTCATTAAGGTAGCCTAATATTCGGAAACCTTGGAATTCGCTATGGTTCAAGAGGGGTCAATCAACATACTAATTGCGAAAACGAGACTTACAGTCAAGGGATCGAGCAAGAGGTGTGGCACACAACCGCCTCCCCCCCCCCCCCTTGGGTCCTTCTCTGATACTCCCCCCCCCCCCCGTTATCCGGCTACTGTTGGCATGATATAAAGGCTCTACGAAGCATAATTACCCTATTTTCAGGTGTATAAGCCGCGGGGTGGTCCTAGCTTACGTCGACCAGCCCGAACACATCAAAGGACCTCGCAACCAAAGGACCCTCACCGTGCTGCGTATTGCCTGAAAGAATCGTGCGGCATAAAGATCGCTTCTCGAAACACAATGAAGCGGCTGAGCAGCTCGTGGGAAAATTTCAAAAAGTGCGGCTTATACACCTGAAAATAGGGTAGTAACATATACGTAGTTATCATGTCAAATAACTCCTCCAAGTTGTAGCGAATTCTAAAGGTTCGCGATATCCGGTCGCCTACGTGAAGTTATCATCTTCAGACATGACTAGTTATATCTCAAAATTGAATTACCTACCTCCTTTTGTACTTACGAAGCACTAGTGCGTAGTTGCTCATATCATGAATCTTGCTTCAAAAAACTCGCAAACTGTGGAAGTAGGAACCAGCCAAAATCTCATTTGTCCCATTTTCAGCTTACAGTGGTTGTGCTTCCAGCAACTATTGCGCAAAAGAAAAAAGAAAAATTAGGTCTAATTACTTCTATAAAAACTGTGAGAATTTGCCTATTGTATGTAAGTTGATCGCTAAAATTGGTTTGGAGGTGAGTCAGGGGGGGGGGGCGTGGCACAACCCCAGGAAAGCTGTGTCCGCCACATCTTTTAGGAGCTGTGCCACACCCCGTTAGCTTACTTTCAGAGCATTGAAATATCTGTGTCTTTTATAGCGCTGCCACTGCTAAACCTTCTTATCCACACGGCAGGAATTTTGTTCAAAATCGCTTCTCCTAGAGCAGGATTTAGTCGTTTTTTCTTATCTGTGCAAGTGGAAAATACTGCAAAAATGTTGGGTTACGGTAACCAGTCAAGCCTGCGCTACTACGTAAATTGCGGGGAAAAGGGAAAATAAATATATTCAATAGCCTAAATAACTTTCACAAAAGTGATCTGAGCCGGATTGGTCTTCTCTAGGTCTGATTGAAAGCGGAAATGAGACAAATGAGACTCTGACTTGCTCTTAATTAAGTAGTTTGAGGGTTCTAGAAGTGGAATTCCTAATATGAGCAAGGAAGTGGTGGTTTCTAGTATTAAGTGCAGAAGATGTAGTCAACTCACCTTTGAAACAAAGTTATTTCGAAAATGACCATATCATTTGGGTGGCCCAATATTTGGAAACATCAGAATTTGCTGAAATTTGGCGCACATGGGTTATATGACATGTTAATTAAAATGATGCTTATATTTTTAGGGTCATGCTTACTGTACGTATACGATGGTGGGCCATAACAGCAATGTGTTAGCATTTTGCATAACAAGCCTATCTGACATTGTTAACGTATATCACATCGCTAACATCAGTATCACCTCGATAACGATCTCCCCCCCCCCTCCCCGCCTCCCTGGCCCCTAAATACGATCCCTCAGATGCGGCGTACCACACCCCACGCTTGACCCTGCTTACAGTGATTGGCAGATCCTCCTCTTATCTCATTTCTACGGTAATTCCCACAATATAGAAGCATCTTACGGTTTGTAGAATAAACAGGTGGGGGGGGGGGGTCGTATCCGGCGATCCTGTGCCACAGAGTCACGAAAATGTCCCACTGCCACATTTGCGCGAAAGAGGCGAGGAGACAAATAATCCAGCACATTTTGAAAGCATTGAAAGACACATCAGCGGCGGACTTAAGGGAGGAGGCGGGAGGGCTCTCCTCTGGGGATGGGTCTCCAAATTTTTGTAAATCTACATGGAACTATACTACGCAAAAAGAAATTGTATGTTCTTTTTGAAAATCCAAAATTCTTGGGCTGCTACTGAGACACATGATGCCGATATTTCTCCAGCATGGCAACCCAACTAACACACCATTTTACCCCTAATTTCACTTATTTTCTAGGAATAAATCGATTAGACAAAAGGAAAAACAGACTGTGCATAAAAGTTCCAGTGCCATGGAGTTTGCACGCGATAAGATAAAAGTTGCGCGGAGCCGCAACATTTCGGCATCGCTACTGGATCGCTGCCAGGCCTCGTCTGCATTACTTTCTGCGATTTGTACATCAAGAAGACAGTCTCTACCTGACTGTTCGGACTACTCGTCCGACAGCTACTTTACGCTGCTTGAATTTAAGGAATGAGTTCACGCTTCAAAAAAAGTGAAGTAAACAAGGTTTGCATTGTTTTGCACGAAGTAATCTTATTGTTCTCACGCAGTCAAAAACTCTCAAGAACTACATTCTAAGGATCCTCTCAGTGCATTACTTCTATCATGGATAAGCGAAAGAATACCAGAAAACGATCCAATTCGTATCAAGTCTCTAGAGAGCTATATTGAGATCCAGAGCCTCGGAAAGGGAAGATTTGGAGAGGTATAGTTGCCAGGTTTCTCGGACGATTATGGGTACTTGATAGCTCCATAGATTCTGCCGCACCACGAATGACAGAGTGAAAATCAATAGTGATTTGTGGATATGAAAATTATTCGATGAAAAAGGTTTTGCATGCAAACGCGGAATCAAAACGGCTCCAGACTTAATCAACTTTTGTTGCATTTCAAATATGCATTTATACGACATTTCTACTCTTTTGTATTCTAGGTGGTGAAGTTTTTGAACACGGCTAAAATGGTTCACGAAACTGTGAAGCGAGTAAAGCTGGAGATGTTTGACCACTGGAGTCAAACAGACTTTCGTGTTTCACATGTGAGCACAGATTACGCCTAGCATCTAGCTACAAAATTTCATGCATTTAGCGTCTGGAGTTATTTATCGAAGAGTTCAGACACTTGCACCGCATAAGCTTGGCAAATGATAGAATAGCGAATTTCCTTGGTCTGTACGCAGACAGGTGACGTACCTCTATCTTTTTCAAGTGATAAAATAAATTCATTTCAGCCATCAGCTACTGATTTTTACCGAGTATCTACCTAATGGCTCAGTAAAAGACAAGATAATGAACAACAGTATTGATGAGGATACTGCTGTGCATTACTTTTTCGAGGTAGAGTTTCATTTGCTTAGTCTTATCTCTTAGTTCAGCGCTTCTTTCACTTTGGAATTATCCGGGCTCCTTGTTTTCTAAATGAAGCCATGAAAAATGAAAAGTTCGTAGATTTGTTTTTGGTTCGGTTAATCTTTTTATTTCAACTTTGCCATACTGCTTCAGGCCCTCAGAGCTTTGGATTATCTTCACACGCTTGATCCTCCCATCATTCATAGAGATATAAAGGGTAAGCACTGTATTACACAAATCATTTCCGACATCTATGTTCTTTGGATTTACAGCCGCCAATCTATTGTTGACCATTAGTAACAGCATAAAGCTGGCGAATTTCGGCCTTGTAAGAGACCTTGCAGTTGACGGGTTCGGACTAGCTGTTGCCTCCGACATCTCGTTAGACTTCAGAGGTTAGTCAAGAGGACGATGGTTGAAAAAAAAGTAATAGTATTCAAATGCAGAGGTATCGTATTTCACAGGAACACTGCTCTATGTGGCGCCGGAAGTCTTGACTAGTGAATTGGGGCCAGGGAATAGAAATGCTTATGGGAAGCCCGCAGATGTCTGGTAAGTTGCGCTTATTCGCTTACTGATTAAGCTCCACCCACCGAAAAAATTGTCAGTATCTTTGAGAAACTTATTTGGATGACCGAGGAAAGAATGACACTTGGCCCTCAGTCCAGAATAACTTTCACTGTGCGTGCTCGTGAGAGGGGGGGGGGTGATTACAGGAATGGGAACTCCTGCTTTTTACTGACATCGTAGCTGGATCAGCGCGATAACCGAAGTACAGTGATAGACTATGTGATTTTACTTCTTTCCAAACGGCAGAATTGCCAGTCTGGGCTCTAGAACCTTACCCTATTTTCAGGTATATAAGCCGCACCCTCTTCGCTCTAAACGCGAGCAGACCCAGGCGTGCCGCCGTGCATATGTCTCGCGGAGCGGTCGACTTGTCGTATACTGCTCTCACTTAAAGGCAGTGTCCCACCAAAATTTAGTTGCCGAGATTTTTGCATTTTGCATGCCTGTCGGACCCTGTCTAGCACTGTATGGGCTCAAAATCGCACGAAGTTCCCAATAACCCCGTTTTCTGGAGGTCCCGCGGAAGCAAGGTGGACGAGTTGTACCTTCCAACTTCAGCTTCAGCAACAGTGGCAGCAACAGAGGGGAGGTGGATGCCAAGTGGAGGGACATGTTCAAACGCGTAAGGGGAGAGACCGAAGGAGTCGTCCGCGCGTACCAACTCGCTCTCCGCGTACCACTTTGAGCGAATTTTTCTCAGCGTGGAGGGGGTCAAATTGAGTCGGACTTGTTGCAATCGCCTATTTAGAGGTCCCTATGATAGAATATGTGAAGATCCGCGCGACTTCGACTTTAGTGAGACACTGCCTTTAACGCGCTCCATGATGACAGTCAGTCTTTTGGCGTGTTCGCCTTTAGAGCGAAAAGGGTGTGGCTTATACACCTGAAAATAGGGTAATTATAGAATTGCTACATATTTATCCTCGACAAAGCTGCAATCTTCTTCATAAAGGAAGATGAAATGAATTGAAGATGAATTCACAGCAAGACTGTGTGCGGTCCAAAAGCGACTACATTTATTTTACTAAAATGTTCCCTGCGGCTTTATGCTTATGAACAATCAACTAAATAAATAATACTAGATCAAAATTCATTATGACCCAGTATCTATAGTTTTCCAGGGCACTGGGATGCACTTTTATAGAAATGCTAACAAGATATCCTCCTCACTTCGAATATTTTGGACATGTAGAAGGTATCCAGAAGGAGATTCTTGATAGAGCTTCCGGCGACAAGTCCAATGTAAGTCAAACAGAGATCCTAAGTATTCTTATACCTAATCTTCTCATTTCCACCCTTTTAAAAACATTTCCAGTGGTTGCCCTACGACTCTGAGGTATTGGTACCTACAAGCTCTCAAACGGTGCATAATCTGATTGATTTTGTTTTTGAACGAAATCCCAATAAAAGACCGACGACGACCGCGTTATGTAAAATGCTAAATACTCTTGCAAAAGCCAAAACAACCAAGTGCAATTTTCAAGCTCTGAAGAAGGTTTGTCAAAGTTTGAGTTCCAAAATTTTTGAACGACATTATTGCTGCAACTTAGAATGAAAGTCCTTCATCATCTACTATCATCGAGCCAAGAATAGAAGATGTTGTGAAAGCAGATAAAGAAACTGTAGCTTCGACTTATATACCGCTGGAAACATTAGAAAATGGTGTTGTCCGCAGGAAGCGACAGATCAAGCGTGTTCGCAGAAAAAGAGGATTACTGGAGAAGATGTCTCTCACAAGCCTCTTTTTCTTTTCTCGAGTACTATACTTTTCGGGTAAGTGGTTCAATTTTAGTATCTGTATGTGGTGACAAATGACACTCGCTAAGAGCGTTGGTATTGCTGATGATCTACTCTAGACTCTAATTGGGATACATGATGCTAAAGTCAGTGACGAAAGCTGATCTCTAAACTGCAATTCTCATCTGCTGGGCGACTTTCAAAAAATTCACAAGTTTTGGTATAGGAATACTGTAGTAGTTTCCAGAGAATGATGTAGCAAGAGTGTGCTTGTTTGCTGCACTGCATACAAATCCACAAGCAGGGCTTTCGCTTTTTTTTTCTGACGCCACGTTTACTTTGAAAAAAAAAATAGTTTCGCGGATAACATTTGCACTATCGAGATCAGCATTTGTCACTTACTAAGTCATATATACAGTGACCGCCAAAAAGTTGCAGACAAACCCCTCCCCCTTTTTCATCGCTCTTTTTCAGAGGGAAAACAAGGATGAAAAAATGTAATAATTGCATGCATGAGGTGATAGAGCTCTTCAAGATCTACAATGTATACTTTGAGCTTTTTGAGAAACACGTGTTTAAAAATTTTAAGAATCATTTTCTAAGAAAAATCCAAAAATGGCCGCATCACAATGTCGCGGACAATAATTCTTCGAACGTAAAAATTTTCCTTTGAGTCCTATCTTGAAACGGAAACACAGATTATCCAAACGGGTAAGCATACTATTACTATACAGAGCTCGTCAAGAACTACACATTGGTTATGGTTGCTTCCCCAAAAACGCAAGCTTGAGTTTTATTTTGCCTTTTTCAAAAATAACTTCTAATTTCCTTTATCAAGCCAAATTTCTTCACACGGAAACCTGTTCAAGACATCCCAACAAAGCCGTCTGGATAAAATAGATGCTCTTTGCCATCCTCTATGCATCGGACATGTGCTGATGAGTTTCTTTGCTGAAAATGGCCCTTGGCAGTGCTTGCACATGACCCCACCTGCACCTCACCATTGACTTATACCGCTTTGCAGGCTTGTAACTTGGCCGTCAAACATTATAAGAGTCTGCAATTAGGCTCATTCGGAAGAACGAGACTTCCTCTATACGATGATATGCAAATGAATTGAGTTTGAGTCAGAGATTTGGCGGATGGGGTGAAAAAGTGCAGCCTCAGAGGTGATTGGAGTGAAAGCTCTTATGAACACCAAAACAGTCTTAGAGCCTTGAAATGGATCTATTACAAAAAAATTGACAGTTTTGAACTTCCAGGATGAAATTGGTAGCGAAAGGAGCTCTCTTCAACTTTAGGTGAAAAATGCTTACAAGGGAAGGATACTTAGTGACCGTGGCCTTTTGAAATGAAACGTGTACCATTATGTATCTTGAAGCGCTGATTCCAAATCTGCTTTCGGTATCTGCTGTGCGCTCTTCCGAAAGAAGTTATGAACATTTCTTTACACCAAAATTTGCACTGTTTTTGATGCAGGATTCACCAATATCGTTAAAATGTTCGCTTACGCAATGCAAAAGAGCGTCCGAATAAAGTAAAGTTTTACGTTAAGCTTAGAAAAACTGACTCTGATATATCGGAGTCTAAAATGCTTGGATTCTGACGCTTCTGACCGCGTAAATCTCGTAAAATCAATATGGAAAAAAGTCCATAATTTCGTTCAGAGTGTCGCACAGCAGATATTGAACATAAATTTGGAATCAGCGTTTCAAGGCGCACCTACTGGTATACATCTCATTGCAAAAGGCCACGGTCACCAAGTATCCTTCCCTTGTTAGACTACAACTGAAGCTGCCCTCTACCACCCCGTCCGCCAAATCTCTGAAATTTCTCAAACTCAATTCATTTGCATATCATCGTATAGAGGAAGTCTTGTTCTTTCGAATGAGCCTAATTGCAGACTCTTATAATGTTTGACGGCCAAGTTACAAGCCTGCAAAGCGGTACAAGTCAATGGTGAGGTGCAGGTAGGGTCATGTGCAAGCACTGCCAAGGGCCATTTTCAGCAAAGAAACTCATCAACACATGTCCGATGCATGGAGGATGGCAAAGAGCATCTATTTTATCCAGACGGCTTTGTTGGGATGTCTTGAACAGGTTTCCGTGTGAAGAAATTTGGCTTGATAAAGGAAATTAGAAGTTATTTTTGAAAAAAGCAAAATAAAACTCAAGCTTGCGTTTTTTGGGGAAGCAACCATAACCAATGTGTAGTTCTTGACGAGCTCTGTATAGTAGTATGCTTACCCGTTTGGATAACCTGTGTTTCCGTTTCAAGATAGGACTCAAATGAAAATTTTTACGTTCGAAGAATTATTGTCCGCGACATTGTGATGCGGCCATTTTCGGATTTTTCTTAGAAAATGATTCTTAAAATTTTTAGAACACGTGTTTCTCAAAAAGCTCAAAGTATAGATTGTAACTCTTGAAGAGCTCTATCACCTCATGCACTTATTACGTTTTTTCATCCTTGTTTTCCCTCTGAAGAAGAGCGATGGAAAAGGTAGGGAGGCTTGTCCGCAACTTTTTGGCGGTCACTGTATCTCATCTCGGATAGCCTTTTCGACTAACGGGTGCTCCTCGTAAGTACTATTCTCTCAGGTATTCTTGGAAGGTCCGTGCTATATATCATTTCTTTTCTGCTCCTTGGTCTCGGAACGCTGGCCCTATTCCTTTTTATTGCGTACTGTATCGTTCTCTTCTTTCGTTATCTCATCAAACTGAATTGCAATTGTGATCTCTGGCAGCCACAATACATAATTATCAGCGGTATCCTTCTAATACTACTTTTTGCTTTGATGTTCAGGTAGGACTGTTCATTTTTTGATTTGAACAGATCTGATCACTGACAACATTTAGCTGTTGCATGGTTGCTCTTGGAGAGTACAAATTTCGCAAGGCGAACAAGGCATTACGCGAATCTCAATTCTTTGTGCGCCGACCGCACCATGATCTCGTTTTTTGTGGTATCACTATTCTCAGGGCCAGGCAGAACGATGAAGAAGAAGAGGATGAACTGCATGAGCCACCCGACGCTGCACCCGTGCAGCCTTTGGACAATGAAAAATTTTACTACCAATAAAAGTCTCAAGATTTTGTCCCCATCTCGGTTCCCATTCTAGTCAACAATATTTATTGGGAGACAATGAACGAAACTTCATAGGAAGCCTTGAAACGTTTCATTCTCCTTTCAGCTTTATTCAAACTTTCATGAATCCAGCTATTACGTTGGTCTCGATGAGGCAGTGATTCTCTCCACGAATGATCCGGAAGAATCCTTAAAAAAAACTTATCATTTTTCTGCAAGGACCAATCGCATCACAAACTCAACCAGCAAGTACAGCTAAGTAAGGTCAAATTCCAGACGAATTACAGAAGATTTGCGTATTGTTGGCCTCACCTATCGGTGAATCTCACAAGTTTTTGCGCTAGAGTACTGTAAGATTGGGCTAAGAAGCCATAACAATGACAGCTCTTCCCTTTTTGATGCTTATAAGCTCTGCATTTCACATTGTCTGCATCGGCTTGGATGAGTCAATTCCCAACGGCATGATGAAGATAACACACCGTTCTCTCCCCAATCATAGTTTTCGGAATTGGAGGCGATCCAGTATGGCACTTTTTGGTTATCAATTTGCTCCACGCCCCATCCGATGAGTTTTACGGCGTGACCACCTTTTTTTTCTCCACCAAAATGCTGAAAAAGCAGATTAAGGTCATTTCATTAGTTTCTTAACTTTGAAATATTCTGCACAGCGACCACTTTTGAAGGCGCCGTTCACCCTGATTAAGGGTGGTGAGATTTCAATACAGTACAACGGCAAGGCAGCTAAACAATATGGCCCGTAGTAAACCCCACTTCACTTCAGATAATCTCAACTGAGGGGCTGAGAGGTATTTAAGATAAACTGACTAGCGGTCACTCTCACATGCTTAAGAATGCGACCTGATTTGAAGGGTTAGCGTCAGGGCGTGTGCCGCGATGAATTCACCAAAATCCGTAAGAGCCTCGATTTTGAGATGAATTGACCGAAATAGTGTGCAAAGGATGAGACGCAAAGAAAAATCCCGTAAGTTGCTCGTGAGTAACCTACGGGACATCTTATTTGGCGCATTGTGGCGTACAAGAACGCGCAAAACTGCACAACACCGGTGCCCAAAAAGGAAAGGATCAATGAACAGCTGATTTCGGCAAGAAAACAAGAAAATAGGTTTTTTTCTTTTTGCAGAGTTTGCGTAGGTTATTTCTACAAAAGCTACTTAGAGCGACAATCTCTTTACTTATTTCCATTCGATTTTGTCCCTACATCCTCAATTTTTGATGAAATCTTTGTTAAAAAACGCACTTTTGTTTTTTGCATTCTTTTGGTTTGTGGATTCCTTGATAGCGGCCGTCATCGATTTTCTTCGATAGTGGGCGCTATCAAAGATCGTTCAGTGATGCACAAAAATTTGCCGCTGGCCGGCGCCGAACCACGGTCGTGCGGGCTGAGACCAGTCACATACCTCTTTGACCTAACCTGCACAAGAGGTGTAGGTGTTTCCTCTTTGATAGCGCGCAAGATTTTTATGCCTGAAAAGCGATCCGCATCTAGATCAATGACTCGCCGGATGCTGGACTGAGGCGCCCCACGATCAACTCAGGTCCGTTCCAGGGCAGATCCCCTGAAGGGGGGTTTACTACGGGCCTATATGACCGAACCTCGCTGCAAAAGGTGTATTCTAGCGAGAGAAGCGCTCTGAAGGATTTCTACATTTCTAGAGCACCCAAATGTAGAAAATTTGTACCTGTTTTTCACACAGTGTTATGTGCTACTGATTTAGTTCGTGCTCATCACCATAGACCGCCCACGTCGATGGGCGTGGCTAACTCAGCAATATCCTCCTTTTCAACGATTTTTTTCTTTGGAATCTCCTTTTACACAGGACTACGGCAATCATTCAGAGGCCTCGCTATTGTTCAAAATCTTACCAACTTCAGATTTGTGTGGACGATGAATTTAAACTTGATAATCACCTTGTAAATTCCGCTCTTGTATTTGCGGAAGTCATCATAGAGCTCGAAGCATGCTTGAACTGGACCGTTGAGCATTATTTCCTTTTGAATAGCCTTCACCGTGTCTTTGACATAATAAGCGCTCTTAGCTGTAACTTTCTTTTTCCTACACTCAACAACACCTTTATTCTTAGTTTCGCAAAATCTCATAAACTTACCAAAGATTTTATCTTGGTTGTACCTCCTCGGGTAACCTGACTGACACTCATATCTACATTTTGGTGTCTCGTAGCCGTATGGCGGACATTCGCCATAGTATCTTTGGCCCTTGTGGTGGCCGCAAGGGAAAAATGGATATGGTTTGCAAGCGTTCTGAATAAAACAGCCATTTAGAAACTTTCAAAATAGATAGATTAGAGACTGCAACGCCACCTGCGCTCCGTAAGGGCCCCCAGAGCAGGTGCCGTTGACTATAGCATGTTCCCAGGCCTTCATGGGATATCCTCCATCATAACAGCTACAAGAAAGTTATTGGAATCGGACTTGTTAGTCAGCTGAATAATTCACTTCCTCCATATTTCTTTTTAAGCCATTTCTGTACTCAAGGTTAAGATAATGAATGACAATATCAGGCGTAACGCTGCTTGTCTTTACAATTAGATGCGCCTTGAATTGCGAACTTACAAGGGTGGTCAAAATTGTGCAAAATAAGCTCAGCGAAAAGAAAAACAACTTTATCTTCATGAAAACTCACCACCTAGGTGCGATCGTATGTAGTTAAGATCTTCAACTTGCTTTCCTACAAAATTGCGCGTAACACGCAGTTGTGGCTTCAGAACCCGTACGGTCGAGTAGATTTCCTGTTTAATATAGTGTCCCTGCAGACGCGACAACGCTGGGGCGTCAATAAATGCCTTGCGAGTTCCCGAGCTAGTGTTTTCCAGTGTTTTCTTTGCTTATTTCATGCTTTTCAGATGATTCGTTGCTGATAAAGAGGAAAAGGGCAAGTTAAAGAAAGTTTCTGTTTTCTGAAAAGTTCTATCATCGTATAATTACATATATCCACGTGGAAGCATTTCGCGTCAGCTTCTTGTCTATTTCTTTTGTAATTTCCTTTTCTTCTGTCACTTCTTCTTTCAAACCTCCTCCTTCTTGTGAGGCGTTTCTTTGAACGCTAGTTGGCTTATCTTGCAGCAACTTCGGATTTTATCCATAAGAAACAGCATTTTAATCAAGTACTTCATGTGATAAAGACAATAAGTCAATCGTAAAAACCCAGTAGCGTTCAAAGAAGTACCTCACAAGAAGAAAGAGACATGAAGTGAGAAAAAAATAGACAAGAAGCTAACGCGAACTGTTTCCACGTGGATATCTGTGAATATGCGATGATAAAACTTCTCAGAAAACAGAAACTACTCTCTAACTTACCCTTTTCTTCTTTATCAACAACGAATCACCTAAAAAGCATAGAATAAGCAAAGAAAACACTGGAAAACACTAGCTCGGGAACTCGCCAGGCAATTATTGGCGCCTCAGCGTTGTCGCGTCTGCAGGGACACTATATTAAGCAGGAAATCTACTCGACTGTACTTCGCCTTTACAGAAATTGACATAGTTGCCATATAAACGGGCTGCATGATAGAGCAAGGTTCTAGCTACGACGTACTATGAAGAATATTCTTAAGGAAGTTTAGGATTCTTGGACTTTTTCCGGTGACTGCTCCGTTTCTATAACGTAAAATAACCAACGACAAGCACTAACATTCGCAACTTATTTTACGCCGTTCTTAAAGAAATGCTCTTGGCAAGCACAGCTATTGATGAAGTAGCGCAAAACTTTCCCTACAAATTGCACGTTTAATTCTCTCAGAGTGTATCAAGTCTCTTGAATTATAAATTATAAGCATCGGATTTTGGTTCCCATCTAGATTTCGCTTTTCAGTAGTATTAATTTGATAAAAATTAATTCAGCTTCTGCAGCGTAAGGCCTCAGACATACCTCTCGCGATTCCGCGAAATCGCTACATTCCCGCGACCTGGCGATTTGCCAGTTTTTCACAGAAACCATGTTCGGGGTCTCAGATGCACGGGGGTTTAGATTACGTAATTTGTAGCAAATACAGCAAGTCTGGCCCAAGCAAAGCGCGTTTATTTCCAGGTATGAAGAGTCGTTGCAGTGCCACATCGCGCAGCGATTGAAGTCGCTTGAAGGCACCGTTTACCCAGATTCTCGACTTCCAAGTTTGTGTGGGCCTTCTCATGTCCCTGATTCCGAATATGAAGTCTTGAATCCGCGAAAACCCCGACAATCCCCGTTCCGGAGAACCCACAGGCCGGCTTTCCGGAACGGTGATTGGATGGGCGCGCACAAATGGGGGGGGGGGGGGGAAGGGGGCGGGCATGGATGGGGGTCCTCGTGCATCTTCGTTAACCCGGAGCGATTTTCTCGCTTCCGATACGACATTCTGTGCCGCGAGCTGGGCATTGGCTTGATAGGGGGTCCTATTATCATATGCTGTCAAAAGCTCAAAACCCCCAATTTAGGGTGGACGGTACCTTTAAGGTATGTCATAGGCCTTAGGCGATCGATGATTGCCGGGTCGTGTGACACGCATTTAACACGTTGACGACCGTGTGTATCCGCGCGTATGCACGCCCTGACCACCTTGTAGCACTTTCGTGCATCAATTTATCATGTGTAAATGAAAATTTCTCAGGTAATTTCTATGCAGTGATAATACTGGTGGCCTGGTTGTCATATAGAACACACGGCATTGCGGTAGCTGTTAAACAGTCCAAACCGCAGCCGTAGATCATCAGTCCATTTTGAGGTGGTCAAAAATGGCTCGGTCGTCAACGTGTTAAACAATTTTTCGAGATGCTTTGCGCGGTTTTTATGCCTTCAAAGGATTTCAATAAATTTGGCTCATCCATTGTGACCCTTTCTAATAGACGCCAATATCAAAATTTGCATCGTACTGAGTAAGTGAAATGAAATTGATTTTCTCTTTCTCTCTCCAACAACATTATGAGAAGAACAGCATTTTGAGCTTTGATAACCCTTTCCAAAAGCTCGGGCAACAGTAATTACAACTAAGTTCCACCTAGCAAACATGCGAAAAATGAAGCTTGTGATTTATTCAGAGGGTCCCTCAGCGGAACGAGGGGAGTTTGACACAGCGCATGTAGCCCATTACTAATGGCCCCGTTTACCTAGTATACTTTCCTTGTTAGAAAAGAATGGGTCACCACGTAGATTGACCATCTCTCGCTGAATGTATGTTTTCAAATACATCGGGACATCGGAACTATGTAGAGCATTATCCCGAACTTTACCTATCGTTAGAATGTGGACAAACTAACATCTTGGCTACCCTCCCCGCAACTTTCAAAGCATTATTTAACTTACTTTCCACATACTTCATTTCCACCTCCACAGCACGATAAGAGATCGGAGTCAGAAATCAAAGTCTAAAATGTCTGAAGTTGGTATAAAACAAAAGATATATTCACAAACCTGTATTTTTCCCCCTGACTGAATGCATGCTCTGTCAGACATGACCGAAGCTGCGGAAACTGCCCAGCATGATGCTGAGAGAAAAAAACTAACTTATAGGTGAAGAAGACGTATGTGAATTATGTACCGCATGGCTTGGTCTGATCTCGCACTTGCTGTATGGATTTACAATGTGGCCACTTTTCTCGAGCATCGAACCTAATTAACTTTTGATGAAAAACCCCGACATGCATAATCTCAGATATTGGTTGACAGACTTAGTTCACCGTAAAGTAGTTGCGATTACCTTTCTGGAATCGGACCATCGTAAGGAATTTCTTCAGCGCGAGGTATGTCGCTTTTTAATTGCAGGAACTTCAAACTCATAAAACGGGAGTCAGGAGTTCTCCTCGAAAAGTCGGCCTGGGCGAGAGCAACGTATATTGCTCAAGGTTTTTGCTTTTCTGCTCCACAGTACATACCGTAAAAAGCTTTTGATTTTTGTTGATGTAGGTGACAAGGTCCTTGCCCTTTAGCTTTGTTGCGAACATAGGGATTTTTCGATCTGAAATGAGAGTTGGCGTGAGAGCAAATAAGTTATCATAGGGTTGTAATTTATATAGAAGTGCTTATGCAGCTGACATACGATTGCTAAAAGGGTTGCTCATACATCGAAACTTTACCTAGAGTTTCTTCTGACTAATTTTCTTTCTCACAGAAGCAGACTGCACGTAGTGCACCTTTTCTTCTTGATAAACTAGGTCAGATGCATACCTTGTAGAACGGAGCCGAATGCAGCATAACTGAGTGTCAGAAGCCAAATGATTCCGAACATCTGAAAATATTATAGAAGCTGCTTCGTACATAGACTACTATTCTCAAAACTTACCATTGTTCTCCTCCAGAGAAGAAAGCTGAAACACTTGCGCTTTCATCACCACGCTTATATATTCACAGTTTGCTGATATTTCAATGAAAACCGCAGATAATATTTTGACAGAAGGATTAGATTATGGGCAGCCGATAGAAAGCTTTATTTTTTCACTGTCTCGATGTTCGGACAAAAGAAACCAAAAGCGTCTATTTTCTGAAAAAGCGACTTTTCTCATATCAATAAGAGCTCCAAGATGCTTAACATATCACTTGCAACACAATTGTGTCACTAACAGACCTAATGACACGATGAAAAACGTTGGATGAATCATCCGACCTTCTTAATTCCACTTCAAAATAAATATGCGCCCCTAATCGTTTATGGGTGTGTACCAATGCCTCCAAATTCACATATCATTAGACAACAGAGGTTAAATTAGGGTATGACATACGGGGAAACCCATTACAAGTTTGCAGCGTTTGCATGAATCAGCTATAATTTCCAGGGCACCTGGTTGAAATTTCTTACAATTATTAGGCCACTCCTTTCAGGTAAAGCAAAATTTGAAATTCATTCCCAAGTATTAGGCTGTCCCATAATTCTTTTCAAATTCGAACCATCAATTTGATATTTCTTAAAAACTAAGACACCTAGTGGCTGCAAATTTGTGGCAGTAATTCCGAGTGAATAAGCTATATAATCACCTCATGCGAGGAATACAGAACTGATAAGGGCAAAGTTTGAAAATTGAGCGCATTATTTTTTTCTTGGTTTCTAGCCATCAGAAAAATGCAGCAAGTGCATGTACAATACCGTTCACATTTTTTGAAAAATAGACGCGAATGTAGCCTAACTCCTGCGACGGTCGCATAAGTTATTCACATGTCGCATGAGTGATGCGACGGTCGCTTACACGTATGGACATCACCGTTGCATGGCCATATGTCGCTTCAGCATGGACGAATTCTGAATCCAAAGCCACCATTCGATTCAGCTCGGCGCGGAGCATCTTCTGATTTATTGGAAGTGGGGGGTGCGATGTTTTCGGTATTCCGTTTCCAGTTTTCTCAAATTCTTCTACGGATGTCCTTTCGCGAATATGTGAAGCAGCGGACATAGAAGATTCCACTGAGTACTATTCGATAATACTGTTCTTGTAGCTTATTGTGCGCTAAAAAATAGGCTCAGACTTCTTTCCAAAGGAGATAGAAGCGTTGGTGAATTTTGGAAAAATCACGCGTTTTCAAATTCTACTCGCCATAACTTCCTTCGGAATAAGTATATTTTGAATCCGAAAGCAGCGCCTTGCTCAGCTCATCAAGGCGAATCTTACTCTGTTCAGCATGTCCTTGATATTTCGATTTCAGTATTCCTGAATCTTTCTGAGGACGTCTCTTCGCGAAGGTGTAAAGCAGCGAGCATTGTCCCGAGTAAATTCCACAAGGACCCTTCGATAGTACTTTTTCTGTAGATTATGATCCGGCTAAATAGTAGCCGCAGATTTCTTTTCAAAGGTAGAAGGGCCGGTGAATTGTGGAAAAATCTTGTCATCCCAGATTCTACTTGCCATAGCCCTAGAATACGAAGCTATCTTGCTAACCAGATGTGACTTTCGAAATCAGCAGGTCGGATAACTTCTATGAGCAAGTTTTCCGATATGTTCGGGTTATTTCATTTTTCTCGGTTTACGCTCTTGGAAGCTCGCCGATGGATTTTGGTCAAAATGCTGATGCTCTTTAATTGTAAGAAAACTTCGCTTATAGAGGCTATCGAACACGCTCTTTACGAAAATCATGGTCTTTGAGGATTACAGGGTCTTTTTGGAGAGACGGTGAGGTGACTGTAACTGCACCACGAAAGTGCGTAAATTTGCCCGCACTTTTCGCGTATCCGTCAGAAAATAAACTTGCCTGCTTGTTTTTCTAAGTCAAAGTTATTAGGAACTGTGCTATCGAACGGTGCATGAATCAGGCTTCAGTCTGTAAAAATCGCCGAGTTACTATGAAAACACGACCTCATGAATTTTGCTCAAAATGTAAAGATCGCATATTTCGTCGAAATTCTACCGTGAGTGCTGTATGACGCTCGCATTGCGGATATTATGTTCGCTTCGCTCAATGACTCCCACATATTTATGGTTGCGTGTGCTTCAGCTGCTCAATTGCATATCGAAGCTATTTCGTGGCTAGAGCTCAAACTACCAAATCTAACACAATAAGATCCATTAAGAATGTGAAAAGATTTGATCAGCGTGTTGTACAAGCGCTTACGGTGGAATTTCGACGAAGTTTGCGATCTTTACATTTTGGGCAAAATTTATGAGGACATGTCTTCATAGGCTCGCAACTAGGCGATTTCTATAGACTAGAGCCCGAGACATGCACCATTTGGCACCGACAGAGCACCCATTTGCAAGAAAAGAGTCTAAAGAAGACTCTAGTTCACATATAATGAGAAAAGCAACCCTAGAAACTTGCGTGGTGTTTTCGATGACATTTTCTTGCAGTCTACCAAAAATGATCGGAATTAGTGACGTCACAAGCGTGATAACAAAATCGACCATATAAGTGGCAAGAATAGCTAAAAATACCCCATCCGTTGGAAACATTCTCAATATTCATCTTTCACATATAGGCTACTGCATAAGAAAGGAGCAATACCTGTGAGCGCGAACGCGGCTTTGTTGGCCGCAGAGCGCATTAGGCGCAGGGTTTAAAACGGTGAAGATACGCGCGCGCCGAATTCGCGCCCGCTCAACTAATTCTGCTTCTGCACCTTCGTCCTGCAGTGGCCTTTTAGGTACAGCTCCGAGGCTTGAGCCTGAAGCCAGCCACAAGCGAGAGTGCGTTTTCAGCGAGGGTTGCAATGGGATGCACCAATGTACAATCAATCGGTTGCTGCATCGGGATCTAATAACTGCATCAAGCTATGTAAGCGGAAGCCTATAGGTGACTTACTTTGAGAGATAGAACGATAAAAATCCCACAGCGTTTTCCACGTTACTTTTCTCACGACATAGGGAATGGCCATAGATTGCCGGCAGCGGTTGTCGGTGTTGTCGGGGTTGGCGGGGTTCTCGGCGTTGTCGGCGTTGTAGGGGTTCTCGGTGTTGTCGGAGTTGCCGAGGTTGCCGGTCTTTGTAGGAACTCATGATAGCCTTCACTCTCTAAACTCTCTAAACTATCTCTAAACTGACATCACCGACAACACCGACAACCCCAACAACGCCGACAACACCGACAACAACGACACCACCGACAACCGTTGCCGGCAACCTACGACCGTTCCCATACCAACAATGATCCAAAATCATGATATTTATCAATGGTAAGGGTGAATAAAAGCTACACAATTCTTTTCGACAGTTTTCGATAATTAAAACCTATTACCCAACCTATTATTCGCGGTTTTCACCCGGATACATCTTCAAAAAAGCGTAATCATAGAACGTAACAAAATATTATCAAATGTCTACCGTAGCACCATGGATGCGGGCACAATGTATACCAAAACATTCGTCTCATCAAGCTGAAGCCAAATTTTCTCGCAAATTCCAAATGAAGTTGTTTTAGAAGAAGTTATAGCTAAATCCCGCTTGTCTCGCAAATCCCGCGAATCCCGTGAAACCGCGAATGCCGTGAATTCCGCAAATCCCGACAATCCCGCGAATCTCGAAAATCCCACAACTTTGGCCAAATTCCACCGCTAGAACTGTATATGCTTCTGAACAGTGATCCATTTGAAAGGGACACTGTGACAATTGATTTTGTAATATGCATTCGACTTTTTGCTTAGTGAACGCCCGTAATTACTCGTTTAGCAGCGCTTGGGACAAGGAAGATAGAATTTTAATCAGCTTACCATGCCTTCCATAAAGATATGCATTAAGGCCACTTCGAAAAAGCATAATCCCCTTGTCAATCAATTTGCCTGGAGACTAAGTGACATGTTATTTTTGGCATAATATTTAGCCTACCTCACCCTCTCCAACCACTAAATTATCGAAGGATCGATAAAGGAGAGAGGTGGTATGTATGGATTAACTGTTTTTATCGTATATGACATAGTTTCTGTAAACACATGCTCGTAAAGTGGTAGTGGCTAGAAAACGCCAGAGAACAAGCTGCCAGTTGTTCAAAAGGATCCCTAAACTTGTGTAGTAAATATTTTCGCAAGTCACATAGGTTGACCGAAAGCTCTGCGGAGCTTCTTTCCATAACGTTGACTTCGTCTGGCATTTTTTCCATTAAAAAGAGTATTCTTTGCACTCCTGAACGGCACCATTGCTGCCCTCCATAAACTTCTGATTGCAGAGATAAAAAGGAGAATTAAGATCATCACGGTTTGATAATTTTAAGCAAGCCCAAAAGATATGGAAACTATGCAGTGAATTCTGACACAATCTGTAGCATAAGTTTTACTCCATCTTTTGAACTGACCAAAGCTTGTGGTCGAGCGTCTCTATGGGAAGTTGCGATTTTTGAGGGAAATACCAATGACTTTCTATAGGAAGTTAGATTCCTAGGATAATGCCAAAAAATAGATTTCCGGTTCTATGCCATTTTTCGTAACTCATATCAAGCCATGAAAAAGCTCAATTAGCCCAAACTGCCCAGTTAGAAAGAGTGGGTAAGAATCATTCTACTGACTTCATCGAATGTTATCTTAGTTTTTAGTTTAACCTTTAGTTTCTAGTTTTTTTGCTTTTATATTTTTTCGCTGCTTAGAATAATCAACTCGAATAATCTCTTTCCATCATTTTCATCTTTCAATCAGTGAAGGATAGAGTGCAACCAAGGAGCCACCAAATATTGCATGACCTTACGTTTTCGAAAAGAATTGTGAGGCATAATCATTGTGATGGAGAGAAGTTGCTTTTTTTTCGAAATTGGTGCAGCAGAACCTTCGGTTCAACCGAATATTACATCCCCATTTATCGGCCTAGAAGGCTAATAGTCGCTGTTAGAGCCGTGACTGTTCTAAAGTATGTCCGTTGTTTTTGCTTTCAGTATCTAGAACAGAAAAAAGAGTGCCCTAGGCAACCAGTGGTTCATCGGTTACCTTACTGGGGTGGTGGATTTACGGTTTTTGAGGACTTAGTATTTTCAGATGTCAGAAAAAAAGCAAATTTCTCATTTGGCGGCTCTCTTGATCGATGGGCACCTGCCATGCTTTATATACAACCGATTTATCCACATTATCCTAACTAGTAAAACAAGTAGAAGACATGAGATTTCAATGATTTTAGCCGTGAATGTCAGTCTCCCACTTTATGTCCATCCAGTCGAACTTCCACTCGTCAGGATGACCCAAGTGCTTCACCTTATCCTTCTGAAATTACGGCATTAGCTTCTAGAGTTTTCTCATTGCGGAATTGGTGGACTACTCAAGTGCATGAGTCCTGACTGATTTTTCGCAATTGATTGAAAAAAAACCTACAAAGTCAAACGTGCTCCATCTAAATGGAGGTACGGTCCCCCATGTAGGACCACCCTGAGCCCTGAACTGCAATTTCTTCATCATTTTCGCATTGGTTCCCTGAAACGGGCGACATTGTATGAATGAAAAGTAACGGTCTGAGTCACCTTGTAGTCGAGCGCACCATGATTGACGTGCCCTTGTCCAGGAAACTCGTACGTTCCATTGGCTGGATTCAAATCTCCACGAGCGGAAATACCCGCCTCGGCCGAGTAGGGAGGATTGCAATTGCACTTTGAAAATTCATCCTTGGTGTAATCGTTGTACCTGGGAAGAGATTATAGCGATAAGAAATAATTGAGTACAGCAAATCAGTTGCATCTCATTTTCCCGAGATAAGACTAGCCATTCCCTTGATTTTTGGTATCGAAACCCTAAGATTGACTTTCGGTAAAACTCATAACGCTGTCGTTCCAATGTTATATTCGAAAAGCTTTTCCAAAATGTTCTTTCTTTTTTGAAAAACCGTTTAGTGAATTTCATGCTCTTCTTCCCAACTCATCAATGTCACAAATTTGTACCTCATGAGCTTTGTGAGCGAATCGATGTCAGTTACCGTATGATGATCCCTTTCGAAAATTCTCGCTCGAGGAGATTTTCCCCATACGAACCAGTCTCCAAGTTTTTTGCCCTAAAATCATTGTTTTCGAGATTACCAAAACGCCTAACTGGTTAGACCAACCTGCCCTATAAAACCGCTAAGCTGGGTGATTTTCTTGAAATATGGTATGTTGTATGATGGGAAATATGAGTATTTTTGGAGGAACCACGTCAGATCTTGATATACTACAGTACCACTGAAAATATGTAATGAAATTATACTTCCAGTGTGAACTTCGAGCAGAGAGAACTTACGGCAGTTGCTCAAGAACGTAGAAGAGACCGTACTCAGGAAGGGGCTTGTTTGGTGTGAATTTGTTGTAATCAAGCACAGCCCTATGTAGCCAGCATTTGATTGATTCATAATATCGTGATAGTACTTGCTTTTACTAGCAAGCAATTGACGTAATTGGAAATTTTTGAAGACCCGTGTGAAAATTTTCGTCTTTATGAATCCTCATAATGTTTTGAAACAAAAACCTTTTGGGAAAGGGTGGCTAACGCGATGTCCTTTCGCTCCAAAAAATCTAAATTTTTTTAAAAATTGTCACCTGCCTCCCTTCTCTCCCCCCCCCCCCCCCCACCCACCCAATGGAAAAGATTTTTCGGACCGTCAATAAGGGAGACATCCTTCATTCACTCACCACTGATTGTTGTATGTTCCTGAGTTGTATCTAGCGTAAATCTTACACCATTCTCTAGCGTCTCTGGCTAACTGATTGGAAACTATGGCACGAATCCACGTAGGTAGCTACCAAGAGCAATTTTGGCATTTTTATTGAACATATGTTTTCCATTTAGTTACCTGGCCCACAGCCTTTGTATTGTTGAAGATGCTACGGTCGAAGACACTGATTGTGGTCTCGATCACGGCCTTAAATTTTGGTTTAGATGAAATCTTTTTCTGCTTGATAATTTCACTTGATTTGCGCAATTAAATCAACGAGGAATATATTTTTTATTCTTTCAATTGGTTCAGTTCTTGGAGATTAGGTCATTATTTTATAGACTCTGAGAAAAATGCGTAGAATTTATCACATACCAGACCAGATGACATTAGTGCGAAGTCATCAGACGAATACAAAAATCCTGGGTAAGAGGCCATGGAAGTGGCATAACCTGGGTAGAACTCTCGATCTGCAAGACACTATATTCAGATGGTTTCAAGTTTTTGCAGTACTTTTGCAAAACTTTGTGCAGTTTTGTGTGAAGCATCCTAAATTCGGTACATTTGCAAAATCAAGCCGCCGTCGTTTTATATGATTTTTCATGATTTGATATCTGGGAAAACTCGCCATATCCAAACTTGTAGAGTTTGAGAACTCTAAGCATGTTCTGGTAGCCACTCATAGTCACTTGCGAAATGAAAAGATCGGTGTTGTTTGGTGCAACCTGTAATTTTTTTAAACTTTCTTCTTCAAATGACTTTCGATTACCTTAATGAGACCAGAACAGCGTCCGCCCAATTGATCAAGGACCGGATCTCTAGTCTTGTTGAGTTTTTTCTCAAGATCGTAGAAATCTCCATTCCAGTTCAGTAATCTTAAAAATAGATGTTTGAAGCACGATATCTACTTTTTCGGGTAAAAATAAATTGCTCTGCGTTCTACCATTCAGAAGAATTTTGGCTTATACAATCAACATGTATTGTAAGCTTAGATACTACATGCTCTAATTAGCTTGATGAGACTGGAATGCTTTTAGAAAAAAGAAAGTACGCACAAAACAGGATGTATTTCATAGGTAATTCCCGGAGTTATCTCTCTCCCTTCATATCCTGCGATTAAACCAGTCAACTGGTGGTAGGTGCGATTTACCTATAAAATATCTTTTTAAAAATTTTTTAATGGACGATATGAAGGCGAGCAAAAGGCACGAACCGCGGACCAGTACACGTCATCTCTTGCAGTAGTGTCAATCTTATCTTTGATGAACTTTTGATTTTCTGTGAGGAAGCTCGTCATTCGGTCGCAGTACTGGGTGAAGTTCTTACAGTAATCTGCTATTGCGTTCTCAATGTGCATTCGTAGCACATCACGCGATAAAACGCCTGAAAACCATAGTTTCACAGCAGTGTTAGATCAAGGCTCGGCATAGGTGGCTTATAAGCAAGCTGGATATCGTTTTTGGGAGAAAAAGCAAAGGCGATACGTGTTTCCCGTCTAGAGAAACAAAAAAAAAACACAAGTCAGGTTATCATTTTAGTCAACGTTTCTGATTCAGGGTCAAAGTGGACTTCGTAATTTTGCGAAAGTCAGAGGGGACGTTTTTTTGCATATTCGAAAGCCATATCCTGCCGAGCCCTGGTCTTATATACTACTTCAGACCTTCCAGGTAGCCAGCAGCATAGGCTTGTAGTTCTGGGTCAAACTTCGCCTGTGTTTCGATTTCGAGAAAGGTCCAGCTGCAAAGCCTATTAGTACGAGACCTGATGGTCATGTTTAAGCGTTGTTGAACATACCCTGATGCATTCACTGAATTCCGCCATTTGGCCGCGGCAACTTGCTCCCTACAATCGAATCCTTAAAAAGAAATTACACATCGATAGAAAAATTGTGATATGGAGCAAAAGAATGAAGTAATAATGGTTTGAGATACTTCTTCTAGGTAAGTTGTGGTTATCATACCGTTCAGGACTTTGAGCTTTCCATCAACGATGCACATCTGATTGTAGATATAATGCTCATCTTTTCCATCTGTAGTGGCAGCCGCAAGATCTGAGAAGATAAGTTTGATAGACAATTGTTAATATTTTCTAGAAATCAATCAAAGCGTCTATGAGTGTGAGATATTTGTTGAAAGCTTACTTGAAAAGAGAAAAAGGCAAGCCAAGCAGACGGCTAACATGGCGAGTTGAGCCTAGTGGCAAAGACCTTATCTTTTTTCGTCCTTCTTATCAAGTTGGAGAGCTCAACCGATGTTGCAATAATTGTGTCAGATAGATTATACATCAATATGTATAAAACTGAGAAAACCGCTTATATATCCCAAACCCACGACATTCTTTGCGCGCTATATATGCTCATATTTCCAGAAGAGAATTTATCCAGAAAATTACCTTTTGTTCTCCAATCAAGCGATCAGCTTCAATCACGTCATTTGGCATATGCTGTTTTTGTTTACTAACAAACATCTTTGACGTTTCTATTTTTGATCTTTGATCCTGCCTTATCATACTGCTCTATTCGAAAGACATTGAAGACCAGCACAGTAGCCCTGAATCACTCCATATACAGGGTGTCCCAAAAAAATGTTTCGAACGTTTGATCGTTAATATCTCTCTTCCCAAGAAGTCTTTTTCCTTGCTTCAGGTACCGTTTTGTAGAGCTGGCTTCAACTTAGATTTCCATTATAGAACGAATCACCCATCTCTCTTCATTACTGTAGGATTACGATAGAAACTTGAAACATATGGTGTCAATGTGGAAAAAGCTTCCGTTTCAAAATTTTTCAAAAAATTGTGAAAACTTGTGTAATAGGGTTTTTATAGATGCTGAGTTCAATACTCAACTATTCACAAGATTACGAAGCTTTCTAAACGGTGTAATCGCACTTTTTAGGAACATTGAAAAAATGGCCGCTACCTCTTACCTGGCATAACTCTTCAATGAAGCATCATAATAAGTTGGGAACTTTACAAGCAGAACTAGCAACCCTAATTAGCCTAGTGTAAAAGTTTTCAGACTGATTTGTTTCCTTTCTGAGGCAAAATATGGTCCAATCCTTTCATGGTCCAAAACCCTCTTTGAAGTTTCTACCGTAACCCTACAGTAATGAAGAAAGATGGGTGATTCGTTCTATAATGGAAATCTAAGTTGAAGCCAGCTCTACAGAACGGTACCTGAAGCAAGGCAAAAGACTTCTTGGAAGAGAGATATTAACGATCAAACGTTCTAAACATTTTTTTTGGGACACCCTGTATAATTCAACGTTTGAAAACAAGCTGAGCCAAGGCCGCCCAAATAATATTTATTCAACTTACCAAATTTTACAGGCTTTTTAAGTTGGTCAGGTTTTTTAAATGACATAGATTTGCAACCTAAACGCTCCAAATCGATTGGAGAAATCAAATTACACTTTGTTGCTGGTTCACTAATACAGTTCAGAGGCCCGAACAATTCACTTCTTGCAGGTGTTCTTCGCGGCCGACACAATTACTTCACCTTCACTCAAATTTGCGGGATATTCGCAATTTCCCCGCCCCAATGGTTTTCGTTCACTGGATTGTCTCGATAGAAAGCAACAATCACGTCTTTTCTAATGTTTTCACTTTTATATTACACTTTGTACTACACTTTCACGATGTTTGTGACAGCTTGTACAGCCATAAAACTTGTCATTTTAACTAGGTTTTTGTCACACTTTTTCACGCATTTTAATGTACCGCACCTCCTCATTCCATCACTGATCTGATGTCTTTAACGAGTTTGCAATGAAGCGCTTCTTGCATCAAGTTTAATGAGCTACTCAAAACTCTATATTGACTGTAAAATTTCGTGATGCTGCAGAAGTCAGCAATATGCACCAATTAAAACTCCGGGGAACCTTGGCATTTATTATCATTCATAAGTTTATCATACAGCTAGGGCTATAAGCTAGCCTTCAGTATAGTGAACATTTCTATACTACTGCACGTCCAACCCCAAAACGATAACTCGAATACCGCTGTTACGATTTACACTACGTTTTCAAAACTAAATGTGAACATATGTCCGTGCTCGTGTTCTAGTTGACCAGCATTCAGTGACTTTAAAAACTGAACTACTCCTGATTTAAGCTTATTTTGGCTCAACCTGAGATCCGCAATTTTTCGATCCTTTCTGTGCTGTACAGTATGCAAGTTGATTATGTTAGTTTGTGGGCTGCTTTCTAATGGGGTTGCAGTGTGAATGATATAGTGGGGGGCATGATTCCAATCGCTTGTGGTACTGCACCGTTTTTGCAATCTGCATTGGAACAGATTGGAGGCGGTTGAATCACTAACATGTCTGTAAAAACAGGTTTCTAAGAAAAATTAGCACGAAGGCGATTTTTGAATCATCTTCATCGATACCATTTCTAGATGGTGCAATTACAGAAAGCTTAATTCAAGGACTGCTGTAAACACTGCAGTTATTTGTCAGGTGTCCGAATACGGGATTCTTACTCAGGATAACGAGTAATTAACGAGTACGTGCTTTAGAGACATTTGAGGGGTTTTTTCTTACAAACGTCTACGTCATTGATTGGGAATCTGAATGAAGTCTTACAAGTGTTCATCTTTCTATATCGGAAAAATCTTTGCAATTATCCTCCAGGCATTCCGTAGCAAAAAAACATGGTTTAATATTGCATGTCTCGTAACATTGCACATTTTTTGCTTGTCTTCAACTCTTGCAATTTCCACTTTCCGCTAATGAGTCGGCGGAGAGCGGAGTTGCGGACGTCTTTCCGCGCGTTTTTGACGCCCTTTGTTCCGGATATGTCACGAGTCGGTATCAACCGAGTTCGCGTTGAAATCCACACGACAGTGGATGCACAAGAGACGAAGAGGTCGCGAGATCGTTCTCGTGTCTTGCGTCACTCAGAAACATTGCGCAAACCTAAATTGTTTCATCCGACACTTTTTCTTTTCGATTTGATTTGTCAATGTTCTACGCCCATACAAGACGTATCATCTTCGAAAATCAATGCTTCGCACCAATTTTTTTTCTTACTATACCGTGCGAACGATTCCTTTACCCTTGCGCAAAAACCCTGGTGTGGGAACTAAATACATAATGTGGTGACAGAGCAGTTTCTGTTGGTACCGAAATTCTATTGATCTCATAGATACTAAGCATGAAACTGCTTAAGTGACCAACGTACTTCATATTAATCTGATAATACGCATTTTGAGTATTGAACATGTAAGCGACCTCGTATTAGGGCAACAGTCACTTAACCGCAGATCATTTTAGTAATGCTAGTATAGATGCTCTAACTGTTAGTTTTCCTATACCACTACAGCAGTAGCGGTCCCAGGATTTCCGTTCGTGGCACTCCGAAAAATTTTTTGGTCCACTTCTTGATTTTTCCATGATCTCGAAATTCTAGAAAAAGAGGGCGAGCTGCCGCCACGCTCCAAAAAATTCTTCCAATAAGGTTAAAATGAACTTTATTTCAATTACACACTGTATGCTGCCAATTATGGAGAACAAGACTTCCAAAAAATAGTGCTGCCAGTTCCAAAGTTCTTTCGTGTTAGGCTTCAGAGCTTAAGGGCATAGAGTTTCCGTTTTTGGGTAACGGTGCGCGTGATTGCACATTTGCATGTCAATTATATCGCATGTTTATATTTCTTTATGTAGATTGTCTTTTATACAACTCCTGAATAGGGAGATTCAACCAATTTGTAAAATTCTGTGACTAAGGCACTATTGAAAATCAGTCAAACTGGGTAAATGAGTCACGAAGAGAAGATAGCAGTATATCAGCCAAACCTTCGGCTGCACTCCAACTCTTAAGAAGTGGGTAAAAAGGAGCAAAGTGATGATTTTCAGTTCATTCACTGATTTTTATTCGGATAGACATTTTGGAGAAGCATCCTAGGAATCAGCAGCGTTTGTGGATCAACCCTTGAGTATTGCAACTTGATATACTTGCTGCTACATACCGAAATTTTCTCGCTAGCTTCTCTGATTTACGAGTTCTCGGTGTTTTCCCCAACTGCAGTCCAGATTCGTCACAGATTGATGCAGAAGACTTGGCTAGCGTTTCTTTCTACAAAACGGCTATGTCGATAACCATCGGGATCGATTCCAAATAGAGATTGCGTTTGAAGCGAAACTTCTAAAGCGGTTGCAATCTCTCGCATGCATCTCCTCATAGGCGTACTCGGAACCTCGCGAAGTGTAGGGCGATTAGCCCAAAGTAGAACGGGGTATTAGAAACAAACCGCCTTTTCACACCCGCTATGACGATTTGCGTTGCGGATCGTGCCGATCAGAAACCTGGTATTGCTTCGACATACTCTTTTACAGCTAGGGAGGTCGTAGTCTGAAAATTGACTACGATGACCCACATCGATGCTATGCGCAAATGGAAACGGAGACGTCCTGTGTCAATTTCTATACGTCTTCTCAATGTTACTTCTTCAAACAGACAAAACGCCGCTGCTGAACCCATCACGCCGCTTGCACACAGAGACCACCCGCACACTCGTCCCTACAATGATCGAGTTCATAAACGCGAGCGCAATGCCGGGTTTCTACAGAAACCAGTGGATCTCGAATGGACCGATCGCTTAGCCGAGAATCGGCTACGGGACTCTGTTGCGTTATGCGCTGACCAAATAGATAACCGAAACCTGCTGTTGCATTACATAGCTGATGCGTGACACAAACTTCTAAGGATGAAAGCAATGCTACGCCCTGTCTGGCGAACCTCGAGTCTGCCTTCTGGTTTGGAGGAATTCTGCGTCGGCTTCTGCGTACTAGGCCAGGTCATCTACCCATTTCGACGCTCGTGAACAGTCCCACTTGTGAGACCATGAGGAAAGGATACTTGGTTAGAGTGGTCTTTTCATACAAAATGTGTAGTATCTTGAAGAACATGAAACATTAATTTTGAATCTGAATTCACTGTCCGCTAAGCCCCTCTGAAGGAGTTACGAGGATTTGGCAAAACTCAAAAACGCGGCTACAATGAAATGATTCAATATTGTACTCCGCGAGCTTGAATGGGGCTAGGTCGATAGTGAGAAACATTTTATGCAGTAAATACTTTCAGTATAATACTCATGCTTATCACTAGCCTTTTCAAAAGCTGGAACAACCTCAAATACAAGTTTTGCCATAAAAATCTCTCATGATTACTTCAGAATTGCTTCACAGGTAAAGAAGGACATGGTCTACATTATACAGGGTGTCCCAAGAAAAATGTGCACACTATCTGATCGTTAGTAACTCGCTTGCTTCGATGTCTCTCAGCGAACTTCAGGTACCGTTCTGTAGAGTAAGGTTCAACTTAAATTTGCAGTGTGAATCGAAACTCCGATCTTTTTTCGCTTCTGTATGATTACGGTATGAACACAGCACACAGTGCCATTGTGAAATAGGCCGTTGATAAAAAATTGCGAAAAACTCTGAAAATTTGTGTAGTAGGGTTTTCAAGCATGCTTATTTCATTATGCAACTTCTTACAAAAGTTCTGATCCTTTTCAAAGCTGTAATCACATTTTTAAAAAGCATTGAAAGAGCTGTTGTTACTGTTTCCCTGAAATTACTTATGAAGGAAGCATGACCGTGGTGTGCAAGTTGCATATCTGTAATCAGCGACTCCAATTAACCCAGTAATAAAGATTCTGGCTTGTTTGGTTCTCTTTCAGGGGCGAAATGTAACTTTCATGGCTTAAAACCCTCTTCAAAGTTTTTACCGTAATCCTACATAACGAAAGTCGGAGTTCTGCTCCATACTGCTAATCTAAGCTGAAGCATGCTCAGAATGGTACCTAAAGATCGGCGAAAGACATCGAAGCAGGCGAATTATTGACGATCAAACAGTGTGCACATTTTTTGGGACACCTGTACATGGAAAGGCCACTTCGAACAGATACCCTTTTTTGAAGGTTATCAATTACACCAATATGGGTGAAATAACACAGCTTCAAAATGGAGGGAAACCTGCAGAATTGTGCATCTGCAGAATTGTAAATTTCATGTGAACCATTCTCCTAGCAAACTTTATTGGATCTCTTTAGTGTGTGTCGCTTTTCTGTGGATCTAAGCGCTTTTTTCTTCCGAAATAAGTAAGAAATACAGGCTTTCTAGTCTAAGCTCCGTCTGCCATAATTGAATGGCTGGTAGAGACATATGTTGGTGAAAAAAGTAAATCCTTGTAGTATTCCAAACTTTTGATCCGTTTTTGATTCTGACCTTTTGGCGCGGTAATTGAGATGTCAGCGGTGGCTGCGCCGTGGTGTAAACGTCAAGTACTCCGTTAGTCATGTAGCAGCATGTTGCTGCATTCATTCAGGCGAATTTCGTCTTTGATGTTCTATAACAATGAGAACCAGTTCGTATGGTTAATGTAGAGCGCTCTTACTCCCTCCTTTCGCTCTCGCAGATATCGGAACATTCGCACGGCTTCGGCCCTGTAGAAGCCGAGGTCCTTCTGCCGACCCTTGGTCAGAGGGATCCGGGCTTGGCGACATCTTACTGCTCGCGATTCGAGCGATTAAGGCAAGCCTAGCGAGACTTGACGAACCCGTCCGTCGCCATTTCTCAACCGCTTGGGGGCGACGGCCGGGGCGTCGGGGCACCGCGACGATGGGCGGGCGATTCCGGCTGATGGACCGGCTCGCGAGGCGATTTTTGTTTCATTGTTGTTCCCAGATGCCTTATCCGACTCAGCCTGTGATCAGCATTTTTTCAAGCATCGAACCGTTCGCGTATGCTCATTCAATACACTGTTTTTTTGTCGCCGATTCAATGGAAATTTGCTCAGAACTGGTTTTTCGGAAAACGTTGACCCGTTTGCCCCTCTCAGTTTTTATATTCTGACCTCCTGAACGCGATGTTCTTTTGCTGGAAAAGCCCTGTAGTCATATGCAACTATTTCGCTTCTTGTTTCTCATGATAACCTCTGCTGCAGCGTGTCACTTGGGCAATCGTACTTGTACCCTTACTAATGTATATTCTGGTACATGAATGATCCTTGATTCCACTCAGAATCATTTTTTTTTTTGTGTCTCTTCCCTTGCGTTATTACTCGCAAGACTTTCTCTAACATCTAGCAAAACATGCAATATTTCTATCTCCTTATTTATAAAATTTGTACTATAAGACGATTATTTTTTACGTAATTCTTTTTTACGTAATTTAGGTTACGTACAATCAATCTCATCTTACTCTCTTCTGAACAACCAGTTGTTGCCTAATCTATTAGAATTGCTATACCCCGCAACCCTACTTATCGCACTCATCCCTATTATGTCCTATTGCAAAGATATTCTCACAGAGGTCATCATCTCACTCAGCGCTGTGTATTTGGTGCTCTTATTTGTGAATTACTGCTTGTCTTTCTAATTTAGAGTTTCTATTCAGTTCATAGAATTCGGAGTTGGTCAGGGGGTGTTATTGGTAAGCAAAACCGTAGATGAAGTCAGAATCTTATATTTTTCACTCTCAGTGGAGTGCCCTTGAACTTGGACAAACGTGAGGCTACATGAACAGGACGTGTTCCAAGTTCAAGGGAAAGCCGTCGCGAATGACCGAGAAAATCCGCCTTAGCGAAAACACTACACAGCAGAATGCTTTCGTGGAGACTATGGCCTCTGTTTGTTTAACCTCCGACCGTGCCTGCTTCGTCTGAAAACGTCTGTGATCCTTTTTGTTGACACCTTTTCAATATAAAACGTGATGGAACATGCTTCTTTCTTCCAAATCCACTGTCGTTGGCCTGCTTTTCTCAACCTTTTTTTTTGTTTTGTGAGCTACCGGCTATATCTCACTTTTCTTAGCATTTGGTCACTAACATTGTAACCCTTTACCTTTAGCGAAGGGCAGTACATTAGTATGGGGAGCCCCAGGGCTTCCGCGGTCTCCCTTATTTCTCTATTATTATTAATATTACCGGAATCATGTAAAGGTATATATTTGTTTCTAATTTTTTGTGATCTCCGCTGTAAATAAACCCTTCAAGGTCTTTGCACTCGGAGCTTCTTTGCTCAACCGGTAATTTACGACAAAGCCATGGGCATCGATTTTTATTTTACGGGGTAAGTTATTTTTGTAGAGATTGACACAATACTAGGAAGTCATAAGGGCTTGCTCATTTGAGCAATGTTGATAGAATAGCTTCCATTAATCTCATATTCTGTACGATATTACACGGATGAATCGTAGATCCAAAAGAAACGATAAGGCTGCGAATTAGCTATACATCTATCAACTTTCCCATTCTTCTGCTCTTTCTTCATTTCTTTCAATAATGAGTAAATCAAAAATCTGTGAATTATTAGAGCACTTGTGTTCATTCACTATAAGTGATTATGGCTTATTTCAGAATAAATGTAGCATCGGTGAGTGCATGTGCGGAGTTCTGTGGCGAGAGGAAATTTTGCCGAACAGCTATCTTTAATTCTTTTACAAAAACTTGCGCCATATCCTACGAGTACACACTTAACTGCAGGTATGAGGAAGACTATCTGATTTAAGATGATAGGATAGTTTATGCAAAAATCTAGGTACAATAAGAATCGATACACGGATTTCGATGTACGCCATACGACAAGCCATTTGATCCAAGTAGCGTGTGTATCCAAATGCGATTCTCAAAGTAAGTTTTCGAAATAGGCCTTTTTGAGGTCACCATGACTGAACCCAATGCAAGCGGCGATCATTTCATGATCATGCAACCTCAATCCTAAGTTACGCTTCATTGATCGCGTGAGGAGATGCATGTTTGAATCCTTTTATGGCTTCAAACTACTCTGAAAGGTCACTCTCTCTATATATCTGCAGTGCTCCCATTCAAATCGCAATGTCCATTGTATTGGCCTATTACTCGGAAGCTTTTGCTGATTCGTTCTTTTCTGGAATTCAACTGTATCCCCTTTACTTATCCTCTATCGAAGCTCACGTTTTCACCTTCGTATGTGCCGTGATGAAAAGCATGATGATAGCAGTTCTAGAAAATTCAATCCACTCCTTTCACTCATTCCTAAACCGATCTGACAACTTTTTTTCATTGAAGGCGCCCATCTAATGCGTTCTTGACGATGCAGCGAGAAAAGCAGCAATGCACCTGGCTGACCCCGCCCCAAATGCCTTTCTACAAATACAGAGAAACATAATTATTTTGGGACTTGCAAACCAATGTAAATGTTGTTCTATCATCAAGGGAAGCAGCTATAGCAAATCTGCTTTGTACTTTTTTGATGTAGCGCTGTGGGCAACAATGTATAAAATCGGAAAAAAGTAGTGACATTTGTTTGAATTTTTTGTACCAAAGTAGGCATTTTCTCGGAAACTAGGGCGCGTACAAAGCTGTAACTGAAAGTCAAAAATATTCATTCATAGCTGTTTCGTTGACAGCACGGAGTGGAGATTACTGCGGAGTACGCGCCGCGAGGCAAAACACTTGCCCCAGTACAAATTCGCTATTGCACAAGTCGGGCTCTCGCGACAATTTAGCCGCGCCGGGCGTGGTCTGCAGGATCTAAGCAGTCCGTACGGTCAACGAATCGACGATGCATTATGTATGAGATGGACAGGACTGCAAGGGAGGAGTACCATTTTCTAGTTTTCTATTTCTAGCCATGACTAAAATACAACACTATGTATGCTGGAGAGTGCTTCACAATATCAACGCTTCTCCTGGGGTTTTTCTTAGTGTTCGCATTGTCGCTGTAGCGTAAGAAAGCCTAGCCATGATTTTCTTTGAGTCTTATTATGGCTTGTCTGAAAACCGTTTGCCATATTGGACGAGTGGCGTAGTTTAATTATCTCGCCAGGGATAAATCTTTGTTCTTTCTATGCGCACAAGTATCCTCAGATTTTTAGTACCAATCGCTTTATTCGGAAGGGTTTTGAACAATGCTGTCATGCTTCATTTATTAGTTTGTAGTGTTTCTGCGCTAAAGATGTTTACAATTTAGGGTTAAAAGGCTGCGTGGAACTGTCACAAATGTATTAAGCTACTTTGAGTTATAGCCTAGGAGTTCAGCAGTCGCAGTTTCACTAAGTTGTTTTGATGGGTGGCAATAGTGGTTGTGATTCAAAAAGAAAGGGGAGGGCGATTGGGGGGGGGGGGGGGGGGAGGGGAGGTGGGGGAAGAGATAATAGGAAAAATGATGATTCTTGTAAAGAGCTCCTTGAATCTATGACTCCCAAATCTATCCAAATCTTCTGCTTGCTTGAACTAACTTCATAAATTTACTATACACTAAAAATGTTTATAAACCTGCCACTGATCATTTAGTTCCAATTTCTAAGTCCGAAAGGGGAGAATTTCCGGAAGTACTAAGGAAGGTGGAATTGATAACCGGCGAACCTAACGATGGCCATGGAGGTGAAGATTCCGCACCAAAACCAGTGCGTATGTTAACTCAGCTATCCATGGTCCCAAACGTGCCAGAACGAGTAATAATCGGGAGCGGCAACGCACAAGCACTCGCTGTTCAAGATACATTTCTCGAAACGTTGAGGAAAAGCGGTGAGTTTGAGTGGAAGTCGTAATTATACATGACCGTATCTGTTTGTGTTATTACGGATATCAGGATCTTCGCAAGTTTGCTTTCGGACTATCGAACAGCGATACCTTCTCGGAGGATCTTTCGAACATCATAGCGGTACTACTATTGATGATTGCAGGTAAACCCAAAATATCCACCAAATTTTGACTTTTTCGAAACTCATATGGAGTTATATTCATTTATTTGATTGTTTAACCTTCAAATCCCATGATATTGGTAAATGAAAAAAAGTTTTATGTTGCATCATTTCAAACAGTGCGGGTTATGTTTATCCCGTTTCAAAACCATTCGGAAGTTCGCGTTATGAAATGAAATTTATCGAGTGTATCTATCACCGAAGAAGCTGTAAAAGAGTGGATCAAAGACGATTCAAAAATGTTAGAATGTGAACGGTTCGATGGATGCAAATATGAGTGCATTTACTACATCTGCTATTCCTTGAACTGCTTTCTATGTTGAAGCCAAACTATGAGTTTTACATAAAACATTCCACATAAGACATTTTATTCCCCTCAATAAGATGTTTGTTTTCATTCAAAAACGAAGCGCAAAAGCAAAGCCTACATCCGTTAACAAACTTTATTCAAACCACTTCTCAGGAATTTTTTGCATTCATAAATCTAGCCAAATGTAACAAATTTTTACAGATGTCTCTGCGCATCTACCTATTCACAATCACGAATTTATCATTGTCGCTCGCTACAGTGGTACAAATCTGGGAAATGCGTACTGAACAGAGGTTCTCATTTGGGCAAGTTCGATCTGATTGAAGATAGAGAAGCAATGTATCAATATGTCAATTGTGAAATTCAAGGTTCGATTTTTCGCTTCTCAAAATCGGTCTTCTTAGAAGTGTTGAGAAGAAGAAGATGCTTGTTTTTAGTTCTCCTTGGCGTAGCTCAGAAAGTTTGCTTTGAAGATGGAAGGACATCGCGATTAATTACAGCTGGTAGGTGTTATGGTATTCATGGTCTGTCAGTGTAAATCAAGTTACAGAAGAAACGACTTCTCCAATGCCGACGACAACCAGATCGTTTCGCCGGCAGGGAGCATATCCTGGTGAGTGAGGGAGATCCTAACTCATGGGCTTTGTACACTCCAATCGAGTTTTTTTTTTCTTCAGAAATCCGAACGACAGTCTGGAACTTTCTGACAATGCCTTCCACAACACCATCCACTCCAGCTGCCGTATCAAATGAAGCTAGGAATAGCGCAGAGACCAACAGTACAGAGCAAGAAACAACGACAGCTGAGGAGGAAGAAGAAGCGGCTATAAGCTCGACTGAAAGCTCAACTGAAGCGGAAACGACCACCTCTTCGGAAACGTCTACAGAGGAGACTTTGACACCACCGAACTTCACAGAAGAGACTCCATCTGCTCCTGAGAGATCAACCGAGAGCACAACGGAAGAAGTCACGGCATCATCAGAGGCCCCAACGGACAAAGCTACGACCACGTCTTCGGAGAGTCAAACGGAGGAAACCACGTCATCATCCGCGGTTACAAGCACGACGGAAGAGTCTGCGGAGGAAACCACGTCATCGTCTGCGGTTACGAGCACGACGGAGGAGTCTACGGAAGCTTTTCGTACTGAGCCTAGCGAGACAGAGGAAGAAGACACGACCTCAAGTTTTATCACCTCAACAACAACTTCCGCAGAAGTGACGACGGCAGATGAAGAAAGATTCACAAAGAAGCCTTCATATCAAATTGGTAGGCCTGTATATCGAGATGATTTGTGTTCCCACATTCGAGTTATTGAAACAACACTAAGGGCCGCATGCATTGACATTTCCGCGGGGAGGGATCTCATCTTAGAAGAAAGCTTCATTTCCTGAAGCTCCAGATATGTGGATTACACACTGTCTACCTTCCCGTAAGTATTTCCACCATCCTTCACTATGAATATATTAAATGGGAGCAGGGACCTGTACAAGCCGCATTCTCCAGTCTTTTTGATTATCTAAACCAACGGTGCTAAGCATGTTGCTGATAAGAACAAATGAGTTTTTGGAATATCGATTTTTTCGGCAAACCCCCACTTTCGACTTGTGGTTCATTGCAAATTCCATGACTTCGAAACATCACTAGTTCTTTCAGACATGATTAGCACTGTTGGGTTAGATAAACAGGACAACTTTGGAATGTTTTAATTTATTTCGAAAAAAGAAAAATGACTTCAAAGAAAAGACAGTCGGCAGCTGGTATCATCGGGGGATCATACAAGAAGCTCGATAATGCGGCTTGTACAGCTTCTTGCTCCCGTTCAATATGTCTACAGGGAAGGATGGTGGAAATAATTACGGATAGGGGTAGACAGCGTGAAATCCACATATCTGGAGCTTCAGGACATGAAGGTTTGTTTTGAGCTGCAATAACCTCTCCAGCGAGGATGTCAGTGCATGCGGCCCTAGGACAGATGAGTAAGAAGCTTTTTTTGTAAATTCAAAAAGAAGATATCAGGTGTTGGTGCCTATGTCTAATACAACCATCCTAAACGCTATATTTCCTTCACGGATTTACTGTGCCGAAGAGACTGTTCTATTCTCACTTACATAATCTCACACCGATGCAGCTTTCAATTTCGGACCCTATTCAAATGCTAAGAACTTGCGAAAGCCTTAAATTTTAACGCACTTATTCAAACTTGAATTTCCAGTCCGACAAGGATGCTTTGAAGAGATTCCCGGTTATATGATGATCAATGTTGCTGGAGGACTTGAGCACGATGTATCTCTTGACGAGTGCAAGTGTTTCTGCGCGAACAGCAAGTAAGTGCGCTAGAATATCGAAAAATGTCTATGCTCGGTCTTCACTTCTTGATTATGTTTCAAATCTCTTCCTTCATACTCTTATGACTCTAATCATGCCTATCTGAGATAGGCTTACATAATCTTTGTGTACATGTTTCCTCAGTACAACAGACCATATATAGTTTAGCGAGTTCTTTCAAACGCAAGTAATGAGATCGACGAATTGGATTCTCACAACAACGTACTCAAAGTCGACTTACCCGTTTTAGCATCAGCAAAGACTCTATAATGTGAAATATATAACCTGGAAGTTTCCTGGATCTTAATCTATCGTTTTTGCACCTGCGTCATCAGTCTGCATGACCATGTATCATTCAATATCTGGAGTTTAATCCAATTTAGGACCTCTCGCCGATACGCATTTGATTGTCTTTCCGCTACATACTATCACGACGAACGTGATTGTATCCTAAATCTGGACGATCGAAACAGGAGTCCTCAGCTTCTGGAGGAGCAGACAGAATTATCCGTAACCTACATCGGTCCCACATGTGGAAGAGGTTCGTATCTTGGTGAAGACAAGCTTTTTGTAGTTCTGCCCTCAATTCCCTCACGGAAGCGCTCACATTAACCGGTTGCGAAAAAGCGTGATGAAAAAAGCAAGGGTTAGGCTGATGAGAAAGTGCGCGACGTGTTTCGCTAATGAAGTCTGAGGTCACGAGACGGTCGATGTGGTGAACGACCTGAAACGTTGATGAGGGGTTTTCCGATCAACTTGAACTCATTAACTGTTTAATTTCACTTCGTACAGCACTCTCACTTACAATTATGCCTGCAGTGACCTTACCCACACCTATTTGAACAAAGGCTTACTAGTTTTGGGGAATTCTTCGTGAATGAAATTGCTGCTAGAGTTCCTGCATAACGAGTACTGTAAATTCGAAGCTGAATACCTGCCGCTCGCTATGAAACAAAAAAATTTGTCTGCGGAAAAGACGACATAAATGCCGAAAAAATATTCGTTTTTTTTGGTACAAAAAAGAAAGATGATTTGCTGTGATTTTCCAACACTCAAATTTATGAACAAATGGAGGTTTTTGGATTCGTAAGATATTATTGATTTTTACACCCAACTCATACAATCTGTTAGGCTCTAAAAGAATCAATGCAGGTTTTTGAATTTTGACTTCAAATCATAATAACTTTTTAATAAGTAGTCATTGCGTGTGCAATAGAATCTGCTGTGATCAGCGACCCCTCTGCAACTAGTATACATTATTGTGTTGTTTTAGCTTCACCGAAGAGAATCTTGTCGCTCGGACATTGCCAGCAATTCTCTCGGGAAACCTTCACTTTGAGAAAACATAACCTACTATCAAATGTAGTAAGACGGCGCAGACAATTTAATTGTGTAGGCTATAGTCGGTTGTGCAGCGTCGCTATTGCTAGAAGATATTCGAAAAGTTTGGAAGTACTCATTTTTTCCAATTTTTTTGAGGTGAAAAATTACGCTTTCTGGAACTTTTGAATTTTTTCGAAGCTGGAAAGAGAACAGATCTAGGTTTTCTCATATATAAATGTCCTAAGTCTATTTTCTTTCCATATATAGCGGATGCTCAGCAATCGTTTCCCACTGAAGATTTTTATATAAGGCAAACGGAGAGCAGCGACCATTGAATTTTGCTTTGAGATTTCTCGACCCAGTGACTTTTAGGCCTAAGGCATTCCTCACGCTTCAGTCGAATCGCCACTTTCACGCGACTTGGCGATTTGCCAGATTTCTACGAATTTATTGTGCGCGCTTCTCGGATGCATATTTTGGTAGCTTGTGTAAGTTGTTGGAAATGGAGCAAGTTCTGACCAAAGACAGCGCATTAACGGCGAATTACGAAGTGTCGCTGTTGTGCCAAATCGCGCAGCGACCGGAATCGCGATGCTTAGGTCTTAGAAATATTAACATGCATTTTGTAGCATAAGTCACTCTAATACACTTTGTAAGTTTGCAGGAAATTCCAATTCTTTATGGTGGTTTTAGAGCCAAGAATAACAAAAGAAAATTTCCAAGATTTGGTCTTTTAAATTCAAAGGCATCAAATTTCTAAAGGGGTTCACTTCCATTGAAACGAAAGTATGCATAAGCAACTAGGAAAAAAATTTCTAGGTAGTACGTGAATCTCTCTAGGGAAACGGTTTTCCACTCTAAACCTGCATTCTAAAGAACGCGTGTGAGAAACCTGTATTAATTCGGTTACAACTCAATATTATTTCAAATAATCGAGCAGATTGTGAAAAAGCAGAAGGGATGAAAGACTATGAAAACAAGCTTTGCTTCCTTCGAACTACATCTGTCGATTCTAGCTGAGACCATCGCTTCGCTTGCAAACGGTACGCTGGACAACACTTGCAAGAAGAGAACTACGCCTGCACCCACGACTACTTCTGCACCAAAAAGGCGAAAATCGGGAGGTAGATTAAGGAATACTATTTTCACTTGAAAGAAGTTTGAGTTTGACTGGAAGATTGTAACGGGCCGAAAAGTGTATTATTTAGAGTAAAGCAAGAACTGTGGCCCTCTGAATTGTTTGTTTTTGCAAAACTTCCACATCACACAGACGCTGAAGAATTTTACTACGATTTTTTGTATTGTGAAGAATTATTACTACCGTTACTGGCTCTTGGGCGTTTTTCATAGGTAAACAACAAAAAACGAATAAGTCATTCAGCATTGACAATACTTTCCGTGCTGTTCGCGCTAAGGACCATTTCGCTACTTTTAAAGTTATTTTCTCGATGAAAGCTGTCTAGCTTACCGAGTGAGAAAAATTCCTTGAATGTCTTATCTGCATGTGTATGAATCTGTATTCTTCTTTAATGACACATACGAAATGTGCATTTCAGCGAGCTCCGATGAATGCTTCCTGGAATTCACCGACTTTGTCTTAGAAGGAACAGCTCTTGCTATTGAGACCGCGATAAGTGTACAAGAGTGCAAATGCCTTTGTCTCAAAGGAGAAGCTAAGTAAGTTTGGCATTAACAATACTGACAGTCTCCCCATTTGAACTTGTAGATATGGAGAAGCATGTCAGTCATTCGAGTACTACTACGACAGTAATACATGTCTGGTCAACAAGCAGAATAGGTAAGAATCGTTATCATGAACAGACGAATAGCGATGGTGTCAAAACCAATTGTTCTTTTCTCAACGATGGATTCTCAACGTTCCTGCTTTAGATTCTCCACTCCAGAACATTTCAACTTTGTACCGAGCTCTCAGCCTCGCAGCTACTTTGAGCACAAATGCGCTACACGAGGTCGTTCGAACTTCTTTTTTTCACAGCAACTTATTACCAACCATCGAAGTTTAACTAAAATTACTAGAATTTTTTTTGAACTGAGTGATTGCTGGAAACCAAAAGTGGAGCTTTCTGCTCGCTTTTATGTCATGTGCAGGATAGGGGGGATGTTGTAGGGGGATGGAACTCAATGAACGAACCTTTTTGCTTTGACAAATGTGCGGAAAGTAACTTTTCAAAACCTCCAGCCTCTCCTTTCCCGCATCATTAAAAACTTTTGCGCCTTAATCAGGTCTCGTCATCCTTCACCTGTCCACGTAACGTAAAATTTGATTAGATGACAGTAAAAAATGTTCGGAAGTTTGGGTGATCAACATTTTCGTAATTAATTTCTATGATACTCATAGATCTTTAATTTGATCATATTCAGAAGACGTTCTGACAAAATATCAAGTAGATCAATGTCAAAGCGGATCGAGCGATCTTCAGAACAACAGCATTAATGAAGACGGCAGCCCTAAGGAGGTTGAATTGATAGTCAAGAATGTCTAAATATTTGATCTATGCATTTTAAGAGAGAGAACGCCGCATCCGATGACGGTCCTGAAAATAAGGCACCAGTAGCAAGCTCATCTGCTGCACATGTTTCGGACGACAAAAGCATGGAAGTCCAGAAACCGCCTTCAACACGAAAAGTGCTATTGCTTCAGGGAGAAGCTGGTCATGTAAGGGTTAGAAACTTACTAGTCAAACGACTAGGTGATTTACCTTATGATCGTTTGATTGATCGTGCAGATCGTTTGATTTACCCCAAAATCTTGCGCACATGTTCGCTTAATCAGAAGCTTGGTTTGTAAGTATGATAAAATGTATAGTTTTGGCAAAACTGAGACCTATGGAACCTGTACATCAATTGTAGGCTTTCAGAGAGCTCCTGTTAATAGTACTTGTTCTTTTTTCTACAATTTCTTCGGTTTTGACTCCCGCATCACTACACAGCACTGCTGACCTGTCTCCAGCCTTTTCTTTTTAGTGGAGCGTGATTGTTTCATAGGTCTTTTGGAGCTCTTAAGCACTTTCGACTAATGTAGGTAACCCCTAATTTTTTGTAAAATTGCAAAAACCACTCAAATCTCAAGCTTTTGGAAGGCTTATCTAAAAGATTTGAGGGCATCAAAATTTCTCGTTCTAGGAGGAGACAACAACGGCCATTCCGCTCCCTAGAATGGTAACGATGGTCTATGATAGGGTAAGAAACTTCTTCACACAACTGCTTCCCAACAAAAAATGGCTGCAGAGCAAACCCGGTCCACCCAAGTGGAATGCGGACAGCAGAGGGGGCCATAGTGCGAGTGAAGAGGAGCGCAAGCGAAAGCGTACTGAGCCTCCGCGTGAGATTCCGGAAGCGGAAAGCGAGGAAAACAGCGCCACGACCAGCTCTACAACTCCCCCTACGACAACGACGACAACGGCGAAGCCGAATCGAAAGCGCTACATAGTGGTAAGCGATGAGCGCAAGTCGAATAGATCAAGTTGATGGGTTGCAGAGAGCATATGTGAACAGAAATATCCCAGAGACAGATGGACTGGACGAAAGAGAATTCGACAAGATCATTGAACTAGAACTTGTGAGTCCTCTATTCTATTATAAATCTCTAAGCTGAGGAAACGCACGGCACGCTTAGTAGGAAATGTTCAAGGGAATGTTCGAACACCATTCATCATGTATTTTCTGTTCGCTGTTGGAACTACTTTCTTGCTATCTCTCTATATCCACTTTCTTAACATCTTAGACTGTTGAAGCGGTTCCAAGGACTCCTTTTTTACCGAACCAATTCTGCAGAACCATCTCTGCCCAGGTCCAAGCTAACTAGCATTCTAATTTGCGCATGATTTTGACACCTACATATTGGCCAAAACAATGGCGGGCGCTTAGTCTTTCTATGCTCGATCATTCAGTTACCGACTTCTTGTTAGGACATGTTTCATTGAAAACAGGGAGAAATCAGACTTCAAACAACCCACAAGGGAAGGATACCAAATTAAATTCGCCTTTGAAGATAGAACACATATATTTGGAATCACCTTTGAATGCTGATTCCAAATATGCTCTTCCTAACTGCTTAGCGCTATTCCGAAGCGAGTTATGGGCTTGCTGTTGTGAGTAAATGACAAACTTCTGAATGTCGTAAGACGGCATATAGATAAGAATCTGCTCAAGAAAAGTGCTAGGATGTTGAACTAGCCCTTAGATTAATTCTTTCAATCTTGATATGTGTCTCATCTTGAAAGGCAAATCTAAGCTAGATTCCTTCCCTTGTCAGATCTCTCCATCTCAGCGATCCCCCGCAATTTTCTACTTATGAAAACCTTTTTTCAATACAACCTTCAACGTGAAAGCACCGAAAATTTGAATTTTTGCATTTTGAAAGCTCTACTTCTTGATCATTAAATTTTCTTCCAACATGGCTAAAATTTGGACGCCAATATATTAGGTTGTCCCAAAAGTAAACTCCATTTTCAAATGAATTGAGCTGTTTTTGTTCTCCTAACAGACTTAAAGGCAGCGTCCAGGCAAGTCTGGACACATGGGAATCTCACGTGAATAGTAATTTTGCGGAGCTAACTAAGTCACTGCTCAACCGGCAGCTCCGGTAGTGCTCTAAAGGCTGAGATATTCCCCTCGAAACTGGACCCCGCGATCGTATTTCGCATGGATTCATGGCGCAAAGCGTGGGTCCTGGCGCGAAATTGCCATGAATCCATGCGAATACGATCGCGGGGGTCCAGTTTCGAGGGGAATATCCCAGCCGTTAGAGCACTACCTGCGCTGCCGCTTGGGCAGTGCCTTAGTTAGGGCCCCAAAAGTACTTTCCACGCAAAATCCCCCTAGGTCCAGATCTGCCTGGACGCTGCCTGCAAGGTACCATTCGATAGAGCGGAGCAAGCTCTACAAAAAGACCACCAAATTGGGACCAAAAATCAAGATTTTCAGCTAAAAATCGGATCTCCTTCTAGAGAATTCCTACGGACTTCTCACTTGGTCGTTATGTAGTAGACACATAGTAGTACCCAAAAATGTATTTGGCGGATTTTTTTCGAGGCTCAAAATTGAGAAAAAAAGATGAGCCGCAAATGCCAAAATGCCACTTTTTAGGGTTTTTTATGTAAATTTTGGTATTTCTCGAAAATAAGAGCACATACAGGAGTAAGATTTTGAAATTATACTTACAAGGGAACCGTGTCGGGTCGAAGTGGCCTTTCCAGATGAGACCCATACTGCTTTGAAGAGCATCAATCGGTGATTCCAAATCTGCTTTCCAAATCTGCCAAGCGCCTCTGGACGCCGAGTTATGCTCGTTTTTCAGGTCAAAAAACTGAATACAAAACTGAAGCAAAATCGCCCAAATTTGCTCAAATGGTCCAGTGTCAAGTATCAGAGCTATTTATGCAATGGATACATTTGATTCAATGTGCTAATACTTAACACTGCTTTATCTGAGCGCTGGAAAGATTGTAACCATCAATTTTACCTAAATTCTGCATTCATTTTTCGTTCCGAAGAACGGTCATAACTCGGCGTCCAGAGGCGCTTGGCAGATTTGGAAAGCAGATTTGGAATCACCGCTTAATACTCTTCAAAGCAGTATGGGTCTCATCTAGAAAGGCCACTTCGACTCGACACGGTTTCCTTGTTAGTAAGGCTTGTATTGGGTGAACGGTAAAAAATGGGATACTTACGAAATAACTGGAGGTTTCTCAAGAATGAGAAGCAATTAGACTTTCCAATTTTGACAGATGTTAGAATATGTTATTATCTTTCAGATAATACCTATATAAGGTCATTTACATGATTAATAATTTCTATACTTGCTGAAATGCAAAGTTGCTCACTTCGATAAATTATGAAGTTTGAGCAGTATCTGCGCGACGAAACATCTTTGACCACCCAAAGTACCACTGCTGGAGTGGGTGGTGGGGCAATCACCAAACCCACGACGGCTTGGTGGCCTCAACTTTCAAAGTCAGGAGATATGGCCATTAGCAGCTTTGAGGACAAAGACACGCGCTATTCAATTCTTTGCAGGTGAACGCATGTTTTCTAGGTACCATCTGTTAGAGCTTTTTGCGCTCTATCCATCCATATGCAGCTTATCTCAGATTTTATCTATCTTTGGAAAATATAGGGCAAAACATGATTTTTTTTTGTTTTTATATTGCGCCAAAAATAGCTATTTCTCGGATTTTTCGCTTTTTTTTCTGAGATTGAAAAGAAATCTTATGCATTTAACATGTCGTTTGAAAGAGCATGAAAAGCTCTTTCGAATGGTTTGTCATATGCTTTGCGATTTTACGGTATAGCAGCGCAAGATTGAGAACTGTTCCAAAAACCCTGTCTGAGTTCTTCACGGCGCCACGCGTACGATTATGAGAGAGGAGCGGTAACGCGTTGCCAGAGTAATAGGCGAAGGTCGTTTATGTAAGCGACGTTTGATTTATAGCCTGCTTATTGTTGGTGAGGACAAAAAACCTCAAAATGTAAAAAAAATCAAGCTGTCCCATTTTTTAACGTTCACCCTAATAGTATACAATAACATATGTGGGAGAGGCTGGGGGCGAAGTTTGCCATTTTTGGGCAAATTTTGTTTCCCGCTTTCTATGCTCGGAAAAAATTCGGTAAAGGCATATTTGAGTACTACTATGTGCCTACTGTATAATGACTGTATAATGTATGTTGGAGTTGGAGGAGTTGGAGGTCTGTAGCATTCTTTATCGCAGAAATCCAGTTCTCAGGTGACAAAATTTTCTCAGATTTTGGCTTCAAACTTCCAAAATGCGACTTGGGCGGATCCTTGATAGATATTTTGTAGAGTTGATCCGCCTTATCTAATGATACCCTGAATTTACTGGGAAAACAAAAACAGCTTGAATTATTTGAAAAAGGAGTTTACTTTTCGGACAGTCTAATAGTTAGTCTTTGAAAAGGATACAATTGACTGAAGTCTTTGCATGGGGATAATTGGATATGTCAGATATCAAGAATTTCAGAAAACTGTGTGAATACAGATGCAATAAAGAGTAGCAGGTTTTAGGCAGTTCTTTCTTTGTACTGAATGGCCTTTTGCGAAATCAAAACAGTCGAAAAGGTTAAGCACAAGGTCCGGCAACATCGTTTCTGGGGAAGAGTAAAGGGATCGTACACGTGTGGCAAAGCACATTCTAAATTAATTAGATTCTTGAACATCTCCATTTTCTATCACAGTTTACTGCACGCTGTTGGCATGCTCTATCTACTTCTTGACCGCTCGAAACTCAAATTACAGGGTTTTCGATATGCAGGGATTTATCGTTGTCTCATAAGTATTTTCAATTTTGACTTTCTAAAGCGATAACTCACATACTTCTCAATTTTGATTATGATGCAGGGTACCCTTCGATAGAGCAAAGCAAGCTCTATAAGATGGCGTGTAAGTGTTCACACCAGCTTTAGCACATCACGAGTTAAAAGCCGAAATCTGAGAACTTCTGGATGCCCAAAAAAAATGAAATTTCTATAACCTTATACAAAGAAAACTTACCAGGTCCCAAACTCATTCACGCTTATACACTCCACAAAACACATTCATATAAGCCGTTGCTGTGTTTGTTTCTGTGCTAGAAACCGAGAAAACTCAAACTTTCAAGCTTCCAAAAAAGCGATACTGCGCTGTTTTCACACACGTAAATGTATACTACAGGCTTGAGTACAGCCACAAATTTCCAGCTTTCTATAAGCTCTAGTTCCAGGAAATGTTGATTCCAACATGTAATCCCTTAGCAAAAAAAGCTAGATTCGGTATCTCTCAAGAACAAGCGCTTCCAGGAAGCTGAAAATTTACCGATGTATTACTGAAGGCCTGTAGTATACATTTACCTGTGTGAAAGCATCGCAGATCGCTTTTTTTGGAAGCATGAAAATTTTAGTTTTTTCGGTTTCTAACACATAAACAAACACAGCAACGACACATATGAGTGAGTTGTTTGGAGTATATATGCTTGAATGAGTTTGGGACCTGGTAAGTTTTCTTTGGATGAGGTTATGAAGAAATTTCAATTTTGGGCATCCAGAAGTTTTCAGATTTCGGCTCCTAACTCGTGATGTGCTATTGCATCTCAGCTCCCACAGAGAATTTATTTAGCGCGCCTCACCTGATTTATGCTCTTAACTTTTCGACTACCATCTTTTCCATCTTTAGAACGTTCTAAAACATGAATTCTCCAGATTGCGCAGCTGCTTGAAGACTACTAGATTACGTTTGTTTCGGCTGGAATTTAACACATTGACGAAAGCATGACCCACATGGGGGTCATGCAGTGGCCGCCACGTGGGACAATGTGACCCACATGGTGTGTCATGGCTTGAATTTTGTTAAAATGGCTACCGTTTTGGAATACAATCGTTCCAGAAATCTTCTTATGCTCTAAATCTAGGAAGTACTTCCATGTTTCTCGGCTGCTTCTCAGAATCAGTGTAGGTATACTCTAGTTGGCGATCTGCGTTAATTTAACCCAAAATTTTCAACTTATTCGTGGAATGCATTGTCTCACAACGCAGAGAACTAAAAATACCCGTTATCGGCAATGTATGGTGAGATTGCAGATTAATCCTAACGCGAATATCGTGGTTGAGGAGAGAAATAAAAACCCTCTTATTGAGACAGCGTCCAAGTTCCATGTGTACCGGCACTGTCCAGATATCCAGCGCCGGAACTCATGTGGACTTGCTTCGTGTTGTCGACTTGCATTCCTGCACAGCGCTAGCACGGAGATGAAAACGATGGTGGCACGGCGCTAGCAGAAGCAGCCTAGTGTCGAGCCTTAAGGAAGCCCAAGAAGAAGTGTTACAAAGCATAACGAGTGCAGGGGTGGTGATAAGATGGATAGTAAGAACATTTCCACCAGTTCTTCAACTTCTAGAACGTAGCAACTTATTTGAAAAAATAATGACTTTTGGAACTACTCAAAATGCTTAGCCTGCAGAATCCCCAACCATTTTATGTATAATCACTACTGAATTAGAGTCAAGAAGAGACAGCGAAAACTGGTCTCTGTGCTTATTTCATTACTCTTACCAATGATTGATACGAATGACTAAGTTCAATTATTCATCCGATTATGTCATATCGTGCAAACTCGTTCACGTCTCGAACATCAGCCCGCATAGCGCAAATTAATTGACAATATTTACTAACCTCATTTGTTATGCTAGCTCTCGTACTTGGAATTGCAAATTATCGAGTCAACCAATAAACGAACTTTGGCGAGAGGGAAAAAAGACTTGATTACGTAGGAGACTGATATCTACTTTTTAGCCAGATGATTACAAGGGTGATCCAGCAAAATTTGTGCCTCCAGTGGACTCGGAAGATGTGTAAGAATAGCCGTTTCAAGAGTGGGACATGGTCAGTAACAGTTATCGTCATAGGGTGGTACGATGGCCGTCTCGACTTTCTGGAGTAAGAAGTGTGAAATTTGACACGAAAAGAAAGAAATGGATGGATGACGAAACCACAACGACGACCACCACAACAACGACGACAACTACCGTAAGTCATCTTCCACTCGAGTTGCTATTCATATGAACCGATGCTGTTCCATATTTATCCTTATCCACGAGACCCCTTTCGATAGAAGTCGGGAACAAAGTCAAAAAAACACGACAGAGGGAGAATAATAATCTGACATCCCACGACAGTACACTGTAAAAGTGTCTTAGCTCCGAAATTGATCCTCTAGATTTGAATAGAAATCTTGCAGAGGAATGAAAGGCGCTTCTATCGACATACACCATAGGAATGTGTACGATCATGGAATGTCTTTGCCAAATGATATAATCAGAGTCATTTAGTTAAACTGCAAATATCGAGAAGGGTGATCGGTGACACCTCGAATGAAGTCGAAAAATAAACAGAAATTTCCGCATTCACGTTTATCCCTTTTTGTAGCTCAAGTTCATAGCTCCTTATATCCAAGTACGAAACTCTTTGAGGATCAAGCAGTTTATACCACTCGTGTTCCATTTCAGATTTCAGCTAACCTAACTTTATCTCTTTTTGCAGACGACTCCAAAGCCATCCGACTACACGCCACCTTCTGCTCTCGTTTATCCATCTGTCGGGCGGTGTACCTACAGTGCTATGTATCAAACAGCATTTCAAGGCACGAAGTTGATCAGAAGCATTTATGTGAAGCGGTTGGTTTCGTTCATCGTTCTGATTTGAGTCTTGCAAATGGAGAAAAGAACAGCCTTCATCTACTGTGATCGCTTGCGAATTTTTGAAAATTATAAGCTCATAAAACAAGCCCGTGTTGAAAATGCTACCTTGAATTGACGAACGAAGCCAAAATAAATGAAGCATACTGCACAATTTTTTAGAGAAATAACACTGATTTTTGCAATATCATTTTACACAAGAAGCAATGATTGTGTAATTACGTAAATGGCGCTTTTTAATTTACATAGAGGAGTGAGTGGCGTAGCGGTATGAGGCGCCTATGTGACCGGATCGGACCCAGGTTCGATCCCGCCACTGGGCCAACCAAGCCCTCTACCCTCCGAGGCTGGTAAACTGGTACCAAAGTAATCTGGGAAGATAAAAGCACTGAATTGGTAGTCGGCTGGTCCGCAAGTCACTGTACGAGGGCTGCACGCACTCATTAGGCTCTTCGACTATGAAGTAGAGTTTCACCGCATGCCCGCAGAGGGTGTTGAAGACGCCGAATCTTATCCTTTTTATCTCCATTTACACAGAGACTTGTCGGAAAAAGTGCTACAGTAATCACAGAGATATGTCAAAAAATTTCAGTCCTGCCGACTGTTTCGCCGCCTGTTATGCTCACAGTTGCCGATCTGCCAATCTTATATCTAACGGTAAGTCATATCTCATGAAGTTATAGGTCTAATTGTAAGATTTAACGAATGAATGGTCCCTTACTTGTCGACAATATTTGCGGCCAAAATAATTTTCTTTGCAACACTTTGGGAGCTGTGTTCAGTGTTTCTCGTGCCAGTGCCGTGTCAATGCCGTTCCAGCTCTTGCCGGAACCCGTCAAAACGGTGCGCAACAACGTCTGGACACGGCGCTGGCAAGCGGCGGCAGACGAAAAACTCCGAACGCTGCTCAAATATCTCAAGCAATTATGCGCAAATGTTTTCGGCACTGTACGGGGTCTATCATTGTATCTCGTACATCACTTGATTGTGGTTCTTGAAACTTGTCGCTGTATATTGTTAGACTTCATCACATATAAAACTGATAGCTACAATGCAATCTTATCAGGAGCAATGAATACCTGTGAGCTGTTCCGGGACTCCGTCATCGATTACCGCAGCATCGGTACAATTGCCTACGATGGTTCAACGGTCTACTTTGACGGAATTAAGTGCGATGGTCCTCCCCCGTAGCCCGGAAGCTAATGTTAACATATGCCTGTGTCATCACTATACATAAATGGATAGTTGTACGTAACGGACTTTTGCTACGCCGCAGATTTTTATATTTCAACAAGAACCGTAGCAAAAGTTTGCATGTGTGCCTGACTTCAGTCTAATCTTCTAGACACATTATATTATTCCTTCGTGCAAATGTTTACGGGTTTATTAGTGATATATGTCGGATAATGGTAACGATACTGTTCGCCCGATTTAAATGCGCTGAACAATTGTATGTAATTGTTGTGCACATACTGCTCAGGATTTATGACAATAAAATTATAAATATCGTGTTTAACCAAGTCGAATTAGTTTGGATTTATTACGTATAAAACTATACTATACTATGCCCTATACTTTATCTTGTTCCATGAGCACATGCAACAAATTGAACCCCGAAGTGCGCAAATTGATAGTAACCATAGGGGGCTCGATGTATGAGCTGTGGTCTACTGATCGGAGCTTGAAAAGAATTAATACTATGCTACTGCCTGCCTCAGAACTGAAATTTGTTCGTAGTTCCTTTTCAATGTAAATAGAATAACACGAATGACACGCGCGAATGTCCAGATGATGTGTCCTACAGAGAATCTTAGATGGAGGCAATGTACAAATTTGATTTTCACTCTAATTAAAGATAGCTTTAGAGTCTCAACGGGTAAAGCAATCCAGCGATTTCACTTTCAATACTTGCATTCTTGGTAATGTCCTCGTTCCGCACAGCCATCAGTTTCTGATTGTGTTGCTGCTGTTGTTTGTTACGCCGTGCTTTAGATGTTTAAGTATTGTAGATTTGGTACTGCGCCCGTTCTTATACATATAGATACAGAATTTCATTCAGGTAATATCCTAGCTGATCCGTCCACAGTAAATTCTGAATTTTTCGTGTAAAAAGGCAGATACACAAATTTTCTCTGAAAGAGAAAAGATTTCTTCAAACTTTTTCTTTCTTTTTCTATTATAAAAACTAGTTAGAGAACAATGGAAAAATGCTTTCATGTGATTATGCATAAGTGCGCGGTCTTGGATACCTAAATTTGAGACTTCGTCCAGATTGTTGACGATTTTTTCAGCTGCGCAATGGCTTAGAAATCCTTAATTTGTCGACGCGAAGTGAGTGTACTTCCGCTTGTTTACTGACTAGCAACTCTTTGATAACATTTCCATATGGGTTTGTAACTATTTATAACACTTAGCTTAGAAAACTTTATGAACTTCTAACAAGGGTCAGGGTACTTGGTGCCCGTGGCCATTTATAATGAGGTAGATATCGATAGATGCGTCTTTGAATGCTGGTTCGATAGTTCGATAACTGCTTTCCATATGTGTGAAACGATTATCTGGCTGCAGATTTGATTTTTTGAAAAAAATTGAAACATTGTCACAAAGGCCAAATTCAGCTACGCAGAATATTCTGGCTTGCTTGACTGATGAATTTGGACCAATTAGTCTAGATATTATAGATTTCTGCCCCGGATGTTGTTCCATAGCATCAAACAATAAATTGGATCGATAACTGATGATCTTGACTATCCAGAAATGCACAAATTTTCTGTTAAAAAATCTATAACTTCCTGTAAAAGGTCGCTTCGCAGATGGGGAGGTCATATTTGGTATCAGCGTTTCAAGTTGCGTTTTGCTGTATACATCCTATTTCCAGTGGCCACGGTCACCAAGTATCTTTCCCTCGTAAGCATTTTTATAATGTACAGAAAAGCTTTACAAGCGCTAAGCTATTGCACCTCCTTTGCTCTTGCACCCCATATAGCATCACATAATTTAGCCTGATAAGAAACTCAGTCATCCACTGACCGGCAAAGCTAGCCGTTGAGATTCATGAATCACTGCAGTTGTTAAATAGGTTGTACTAAGTCTATAAAAGCGCAGCTCCTTTCCAGTAATGCTCAACTCCAACAAAGAGCTGCGCACGGTATCAAAGCAATATCAAAATCCTCTTCATAAATGCGAAGCAGTATCAAAAATTCATTACAAATATTCCCCTTCCTCAAAGTGCTTCCAATCTATCTACTGGCTTTACCTGTCTCTGGTCGGTCAGCAAAGTTTCTTATGCTGTTCTGTCAGAGCATTCCGTTTCGTATACTTGTTGTCACATCTATTCTAACAACTGTTGTTTGTGAGTTACATTCATCTGGAAGAAGCGTCTTTTTTCTTTACATAACTTGTTGAAAATCGACCTACTGTTAGGTTGACACATAAGTAATGCAACTTTCTAAATAACTTTGTCTTTTTGAACGTGGCGCATTCATTTTTTGGCCATATAAGGATTATGATGTAAACTGGGAGTAGGGGCATTTTTTGCTGAATTTTTCTGTTTTATACAAGGTTTTACGGTAGATTTACGGTACAATGGGAAAATTTTTAGATTGCGTCCGATATCGCTACTTGGCCTATGGGGGTTATTCGACATGCTGATCACAAAATTGAGGCCCATTTCGCATAAAAAGGCCTCTTTAGTAAGGTCAAGAAATGAATTTTCGTCTTAGAGACAAATGGATTTGATATTCGTGTTCACCCATAGGATTATTTACCCTATTGTGCATAGTTTTAGCAGAAACTGACTTTTCGCAGCTTAGTAGTTGACGGATGGTCCTTCAAATTTGACGTATTTGACCTGTTCATATTCTCAAAGGTGCCCTATCTTGATTTGTCTTTAAACTTTCTTTTTTTTTTACTGATTCCATTATGTAAACTTCTAGCTACATGCTGCCTATAAAGGCCTAGAAAGCATATAATGCTTTCTTGATGTATTTCAAGTTTGTTGCGGCTTCATGTTTGCCAAGAAACCGTGAAACCTCGATTTTCAGCAGTTTTGAAAATTGCTCAAATTTTTTCACTACGTTATCAAAAACTAAACGATCTGCGCAGAGCTTGCAGCTTACATCATAGTCTACATGATGCCAGAGAATCAGATTGTTACATAAAATAAGAAAAAAAGTTATGGGGAAAGCTGCAAATCTCATGTGCCAACCTAATACTACCATTAACAAGCATGTATCTATTTGTATTATTTATAGGTACTTTGATGATCCTCGAATTCTATTCCCTTTTTTCTGGAATATCAAAAGCCTGCACAGCGCTGTATTTTGTAATTGTCAAATGTGGAAAAACGCTCGTAGTGAATAAAACTGACTATTCTTTTCTCACTTCTGGGATATATCGAAAACATATTATAAGTCGGAAACAAAGAGTTAGAGGCAAGCTAAAATGTAGAAGAATTTTCTAGCATGTTCAAAGAAATGGGAATCTTTCTTCTTTCCTTCAAAAAGTAACATCCTCACATAGAGATTTATCCAAGCAATTTGTTGAATAGCATCATTTCCATTTCTGTTTCTAAGCGTAGCTACAACATGGATTGCAAGTTGACTATATTGCTCTCTTTTATTCCTAAATTGCAAAAAGGTACTTAGCGAACGCTGGAGAATCTCGAAAGGTGTTTCAGCCCAATGCCCTTTTACCAAGTCCCACCTCTGGCTGATATACCTACTTCATATATTCATCGATCAGTGTTTGAATACTAATGTTACACAGATGAACATTACTCCTCTTTGCTCTCAACGAAACTCGCCAACGCACAACAAGCTTTTTTAGCCTGCCATAAAGCATTTCCTCAAAGGCTCCGGAGCGGCTCTGTATGAAAACCAAACCAATAGACAGCCGAATAGAAGAATCCCACATGTATTGAGATTCACTATAAAATATTGTCAGACATGCATTGGTCGTTATAATTGAATCACATCAACAAAGGATGTTTTGGAAAACATCGCTATCTGTTTCGACGCATCCCAGCGCATCCTACATACATGGCTTTAGTGTAGATTGACAATTCATTTTCGAATGTAAATTAGGAAGAGAAAAAAAGTAGATGCATCATAGAAAAACATCTTTGGCACTGCGAATGACACTTGATGTGTGATACGCCTTCAACAACGGAAATTACCACTGATATTCTTGGCAGCCAGCGGAAGCATACGATGTTGCATTGCAAAATGTTTGTTCTATCGTGTGATTAAATCTCGTGAATGTGAAATGAAAATTCTGGAAATTACTCAAAGTTGGACAATGTTAGAACGATTGCTTTCAACCTCGGTATGGAGTAAACACGTGAATAAAATCAAAAAAGATAGATGAAAATAATAGAAGGAAAGCTCACCTGCATGCAGTTGAAGGTACTCTTAACATTGCCCTGTTAGATTTGCAAATAGACCCCTTGGCATAAGCTTTTGAAGCGGACTTCGAATCAGGCACAGTTTCTCAATGCTGTGGAATCATTTTCTTGGTAAAAATTTACAATGTCAGTTTGAAAGTCTTGAGACAAGTTCTCGGCTCAAAATCTGTCGCTGCTTTCATTTACTCCAGTATCAAGAAGTTATAACATCAAAACTGTCTAGTCTACACTGTGATCAATAGCTTACACGTTCCTTGAGATCCTAAAAAGGCTAATGAAAGCATGGGAAAGTGGCTCATGATCTCTCTGTCTCCTTGTTTGTGAAATTGAGCTAGACGTTGGCATTGTTATTTCTTTCTCACAAGGGAAGCTTGTTTAGTCGAAGCGGCCTTTCCAAATGAGATGTAAACCGTATTAAAGCGCATAAAACGCTGATTCCAAAACTGTCTTCCTTATCTGCAGAACATTTATGGACGAGCGTTTTTTTTTTGCCAAAAATTGAATGTGCACTTTGAATAAAATGAGTTGTTAGAATCTTACTAGCCTTCAAATAATAACCAAGTGTGGTATAATTTTTATTTTGAAGTAATTTTCAAGTGAAGTGTTCTGGTGATTATCATTGCTCCGTGGAAGAGCTAGAAAAAGCATTACGGTTATTTTTGTCACACTTGCACATTCAATTTTTGACTCCAAAAAACGCCCATAACTTCTCGTCCATAAACGTTCTGCAGATACGGAAGACAGATTTGGAATCAGCATTTTATGCTCTACAATATGGTGTACATCCCATCAAAAAAGGCCACTTCGACTAAACAAGCATTCCTTGTCAGAATGAACTGCGCACTGTCAGCGAGCGGTCAACGTTCAATTCAATGCAAAGATTGAGAAATCTAGAAGTTATGTGCAACTTTTTTCTACTAAGGAAGGGACTTAAATATCTTTAAATGCTTTTCACGTAGGATATAAAGCATTTGCTGCAGCAATTCAACAGCTTATTTTTTTAGCATTGTCTCTTTTTCTGGACCACAATGTCCATGCACTTTTGGTGTTACTTGCTTTTGCGCAAGGCAACGCTTATCATACATTCAGCATCATGTCGTTGATC